GCGCCAAAATTTTTTAAAAATATATTTTATTGATTTTTTACAGAGAGGAAGGGAGAGGGATAGAGAGTTAGAAACATTGATGAGAGAGAAACATTGATCAGCTGCCTCCTGCACACCCCCTACTGGGATGTGCCCGCAACCAAGGGACATGCCCTTGATCAGGAATCGAACCTGGGACTCTTCAGTCTGCAGGCCAATGCTCTATCCACTGAGCTAAACCGGTTAGGGCGAGAGAGCCAAATTTTTTAAACTTAAACTTTTTAAAAAAATATATATTTTGATTTTTTACAGAGAGGCTGAGAGAGGGATAGAGAGTTAGAAACATCGATGAGAGAGAATCATCGACCAGCTGCCTCTTGCACACCCCCTACTGGGATGTGCCCGCAACCAAGGTACATGCCCTTGACCAGAATTGAACCCAGGACCCTTCAGTCCTCAGGCTGACGCTCTATCACTGAGCCAAACCGGTTTTGGCTAAACTTAAACTTTTTCTAATGCCACTTCTTGAAAATAGACTCGCCCAGGCCGTGGTATTTTGTGGAAAAGCCATACTCAAGGGGCCAAAGAGCCGCATGAGGCTCGTGAGCTGCAGTTTACCGACCGCTGGGCTAGGACAACACAGCAAATGCTTGTTGAAGGGATGAGTGCATTCCCATCTGTATTCTTAGAATGAAAAGGTCACCCTAGGCCAGGGCCTATGGCCAGCCTTGTGCCTGTGGCTGCTCATTATCTAAGTTCTGGCCCCTGAACAAAAGAGGTCCAGACTGTCCCTCGTCGGTCTGCCCCGAACCTGGGTCTGGACCCCAGAGAGCAGCAGTCAGCTTTTCCCCTCATATCTCAAAGCCTCCACAACCGCCAGCTTTTATCAGACACGGGGCAGACCTGGCCACCTTCTACCTCATCTGCCCTAGAAGGACCCCCCAGAGGAGGTGCCCAATTATCTGCCTTCTGCACGCATGACCTCTTCCCTTTGGGCTGGTCCTTGTCCCCTATAGCAGGCGTCCTCAAACTTTTTAAAGTGGGGGCCAGATCACGGTCCCTCAGAGAGCTGGAGGGCCGGACTATATGAACTACTAATTCCTACTGTAACACCTCGGCTGCGCTCACTGCCCAAAAAACCTGGCGGGCCGGATCAGACTCCTCTGCGGGCCGCATGTGGCCCGCGGGCCGTAGTTTGAAGACGCCTGCACGCTCTTGGCCTTGACATTGAGTTAGGTGTGGAAGGGTAAAGAACACCAGAAGCACACCTAACCTCTAGCCTGCTTTTCCATCTCTTCTCTCTTTAGGGTCTACAAGTGGATGATGAGATTGTGGAGTTTGGCTCCGTAAACACCCAGAACTTCCAGTCGCTGCAGAACATTGGCACTGTGGTGCAGCACAGCGAGGGGGTGAGCTGGGGGTTACGTGGCATTTGGTCAGGAACCCTAGAATTGCCGGAATCATAATATTTATCCTTTTGTGACTGGTGTACTGCACTTAGCATAATGTCTTCGTGGTCCTTCAATGTTGTTATATATGTCAGATTTTTCTTCGTTTTTAAGGGCTGCTTTTTTTCACTTGGCTGATAGTATCCTTTGATACACAAAATTTTTAAATTTTGATGCATCTTGTTTTAATTTTTATTAAAATAGTACATATAGCCCAGCTGTTGTGGCTCAGTTGGTTGAGTCACATGCACCAAGGGGCCGCCGATTCAGTTCCTGGTCAGGGCACATTCCTGGGTTACGGGATCCATCCCTGATCAGGGGCATGTGGGAGGCAGCTGGTTGATGTTTTGCTCTCACACTGATGTTTCTCTCTCACATTGATGTTTCTCTCTCCTCCTTTCCTCTCTTTCTAAAATTAATAAAAGGATATTTATTTATTTATTTATTTATTTATTTTTTTTTAATATATTTTTTTATTGATTTTGTACAGAGAGGAAGGGAGAGAGATAGAGAGTTAGAAACATCGATGAGTGAGAGTCATCGATCAGCTGCCCCTTGCACACCCCCCACTGGGGACGTGCCCGCAACCAAGGTACATGCCCTTGACCGGAATCGAACCCGGGACCCTTCAGTCCCCAAGCCGACGCTCTATCCATTGAGCCAAACCGGTCTTGGCATAAAAGGATATTTAAAAAAATATTAATACATACACGTCTTTAAAAAGTTAATGGTATAAAAAGATATAAAAGTAAATGTTGTTTTCTCTAATTTCATTCTCTCTGGGAAGTAACACTGTTCAGTGTTTTGGTATATCTTCCAGAAAACTTTGTGTGCGCCAAGCAATAGATATGTTCTTTTAGAAAAGGTATTCAAATGGGTTCATCCTTAGTTGGCTTTGCTTTGTATTCTTTTTTTAAAAAAATTTTTTCAGATAACTGTGCATCTTTGTTTTGTTTTGTTTTTTGTTTGAAATATATTTTATTGATTTTTTTACAGAGAAGAAGGAAGAGGGATAGAGAACTAGAAACATTAATGAGAAACATCAACCAGCTGCCTCCTGCACAGCCCCCACCAGGGATATGCCCGCAACCAATGTACATGCCCTTGACTGGAATCGAACCCGGGACCCTTTGGTTTGCAGGCGGATGCTCTGTTCACTGATAGAGCATCTCAGCATTTTAGCCTGGATTTCTTTGAGTTCTAAGGAGGTTGAACATAAACGAGCTCATTTTCCTTTCAGAAGCCCCTGAATGTGACAGTGATCCGCAGAGGGGAGACGCACCGGCTCAGACTTGTCCCAACACGCTGGGCGGGGAAAGGACTGCTGGGGTAAATGCCTGCTTTGGTTCTTTCGCACGTAGTGCCCATTGCATGTTTGTTAGACATAAAGCTGGGGGGAGGGGGTGGGGAATGATGGGAATCCCCAGGGGACCCGTAGAACTGATATGAATACTTGAGACAGGAAGAAGTCTATAGAGGCAGAGGTGGAGGGAGCCCTGGGGACTAAGAATGTGATTGACAAGCTCGGGAGGGCTCACCTCCTGATCTCTCCGAATGGAGCCGTCAAACTGATGCTGTTTCTTTTTTTTCTTCCAGCTGCAATATCATTCCTTTGCAAAGTTGATTGTCCCTGAGGACCAGTATCAGGAAAGCATCTTCTGTGGCCCAAGACTTGTGTCTAGGGGTGGATTTCTCCCTTCTCTTCTCTCCCTGGAGTTTAGGGTCTGGAAGCCTGAACTTCTGGGTGGTAGAAACGCCATGGCAATCTCTTGGGATTAAGAAAGACATTGTTCAGAACTTGATATGTGCTTAGCATCTTTCTGAGTTAGACCATGGCCCCAACTGGGAATCTCTGATGGCAAGAGGGTGGGAGTTATTCCAACAGGTGCTGTCATGACTTTATTCTTTTAGGAATTATTTTCTCCAAATAAACCGTTTTATAGTACTGATATGAGCATGTGATCACTTCAACTGTGGCCCTCTCAGACCAAAGCTCAGAACATCCTCACAGAAAGTTGGGCCCTGGCCGGTGGCTCAGTTAGTTGGAGCGTTGAACTGATGTGCCAGGGTTGTGGCTCAGTCCCTGGTCAGGGCCCATGCAGGGGTCATCTGATGAGTACATTATTAAGTGGAACAATGGAACGATATTTCTCTCTATCCTCTATAAGATAAAAGGAAAGAAAGAAAGAAAGAAAGAAAGAGAAAGAACAATAATTGTACCAAAGTCAAAACAATATTTCAGGAACATCCTTCTCTATGTCATGGGGTTTCCAGACACCAGCTGCCTGTCTCCCTTTGCAGTGCGGGTTGCTGCCCTAGATACAGAAATCTTGTCTTCAGCACTTGGACCTCCAGAGCCACAGCTGCTCCCTTTAAGAATATGGCATGCAAATTCGTGAAGCATTCTGTATTTTTATAACTTAAAAAAAAAGGAAAGGATAAGCTGAAACTGGTTTGGCTCAGTGGCTAGAGCGTCGGTCTGCAGACTGAAGGGTCCCAGGTTCAATTCCCGTCAAGGGCATGTGCATTGGTTGTGGGCACATCCCCAGTGGGGGGTGTGCAGGAGGTGGCTAGTCCATGTTTCTCTCTCATCGATGTTTCTGGCTCTCTGTCCCTCTTTCTTCCTCTCTGTAAAAAATCAATGAAACAGATTTAAAGAAAAATAAAAATAAAAGATAAGCCGGGAGGCTCTCCAGACAGTCTGCTCTCTCATCCATAATCTACCAGAGGGCAGCAAGCTCCCTTCACTTCTAGAATAAAAATGCCTGCAGATTAGCTTCTAATTTGGCTTTTTATCATTGAACTTCCTTGCCAAGCCCTCAGCTCAGCACTATTTTATAAACTGCTAAGGCGTGCTTGACGCTGATGGGAACAGCAGTGTGTACGGATCCGACCGCTTGAAAAGGCCGAGTCCTTTTGTTTTCTCTCTCTAACACGGCAAAATGGATTTCAGGGATTCCTAGGCACTCTAGTCTTTATTTCTCTCTTCACTGTATTCATCCCACCATTTGTGTAGACCCCTCTCTTTCAGAGATCTGGCACATTCTGCTGGGGTGTGTGTGTCTCAGGACCGGATTTGCTTGGGTTGGATACAGGTACCAGCTTGCCCTGACGGGAGTTGGTATTGGCCTGTGCTTCCTGCCATGGGTTCTCACACTCACCTGGAAAGCCTTCCTGTGGAGGGTCTTCCCCAGACTGTTACTTCAGCCCTGCCTCCACCTGTGTTCCCCGCCCAAGTGTTTTCAATCTTTTTTTTTTTTTTAATAAGCCCTAGACTATAATCAGCACAGCTTCTCCCATCCAGGCATGGGTGAGGGGGTGGGGAGGATCATTCGCATTCTCCTAAAGTGCTAGCAGCAGAGTCTTCTGCATCGTACCTTTGGCTGGTTTCCTGCAGGTCTTCCTTTGGGAACCTCGGGATGGCCAGGTGTGTCCTTCTCCATGAGATTCTAGGGGAGGGCCACTAGGAGGTAGAATGATCCTAATTTTTAAATATTTTTTATTAATTTGAGAGAGGAAGGGAGAGAAACATCAATGATGAGAGAGAATCATTGATTGGTTGCCTCCTGCACGCCCCACACTGGGGACGGAGCCTGCAACCCAGGGATGTGCCCTGACCCAGAATCCAACCGTGACCTCCTGGTTCATAGGTCCATGTTCAACCACTGCCACATTGGCCAGGCGATCCTCATAGATTCAACCAAACTGGATTTGCAGAAACGTTTTGTGATAAGAACAGCAAGATAACGTAACCTCTGCCATAACCTCCCGGCTAGCTGAAACTCGGAACACTTTGTCCCGGTGAGAAGGTGTGGAAGACATCTAGGTGCAGCATCCGCGAGACCGGGAAATTTAGTCTGCTTTTGGAAAAGAGAATTTTATCAAAACATTTCATACTTCACTTAATCTTGTTAAACCTTCAGAAAGTCAAAACTGCTAGTGTTTGCCGCTGCAGTTTCTCAGGAGATGGCGCCATGGGAAAAGTGGACGGAAAGAAAGACCACAAAAGCCAATTTCGCCCCCCACCCCCTCGCGGCGGCGCCTCTCCGGGGAGACCGGCAGGGGGCGCGCGCGGGCCGGCTCGCGGCTGCTTCCTGGGCACGTGACCACCTTTCGCTTTACGGCACGTCGCCTGCCGCGGCGGCGGTTACCATGGGGATAGGGCTTGGGTGGCAACCGTAACTAGGGAGCCGGAGTTGGAGAAAGCGGCTGCTGGGAAGCGGCTGAGGAGTCCGAGCAGCCGGACGACCCCGGGCTTGTGAGCACCGGGCTGGGCGCGCTGTGAGTCCGGGTCGCAGGCCACGCGGTCGGCGAAGGGGTGCCCAGCAAAGCAGGCCTCGGGGCCCCGGGGGTGCTCCCCCCAGCCCGGCAGGGCCGGGCCCGGGCCCCCGCAGGCCGCACACGGCGCTCCCCGGCCCGCTCCTGCCCCTCGCCCCCGCCCCGCATCCAGATTCACAGGCCGAGTTTGGCGGTAGAGGAGGCTCTGTGCCCAGGGCCCTAGACTTCATATCAGTGATGTTCCAGGCGGAGGCGCAGAGCGGGAGGAGGGTTAGGGTGAGGGTTAGGGTTAACTGTGTGAATAAGTCACGTCAACTCCCAGAGCCGCAAATCCTCAAGTTTGTGTAAGGAATAAGTGAGAGGAAAAAGGCTTTTTAAACAGTTGCTACCATTTCTCAAGCACTGTTTGGGCCACAACTGTGTTGAGCATTTTTTTTAAAATATATTTTTTATTGATTTTATACAGAGAGGAAGGGAGAGAGATAGAGAGTCAGAAACATCGATGAGAGAGAGTCATCGATCAGCTGCCTCCTGCACACCCCCTACTGGGGATATGCCCGCAACCAAGGTACATGCCCTTGACCAGAATCGAACCTGGGACCCTTCAGTCCCCAAGCCGACGCTCTATCCACTGAGCCAAACCGGTCCCGGCATGTATTGAGCATTTTAAAAAAATATATATTTTATTGATTTTTTTACAGAGAGGAAGGGAGAGGGATAGAAAGCTAGAAACATCAATGAAAGAGAAACATCGATCAGTTGCCTCTTGCACACCCCCGACCAGGGATGTGCCTGCAACCAAGGTACATGCCCTTGACCGGAATCAAACCTGGGACCTTTCAGTCCGCAGGCAGACGCTCTATCCACTGAGCCAAACCGGTTTCGGCTGTGTTGAGCATTTTATCAATATCATGTAACCTTCACAATAACTCTATAGAGTTGTTATTTTTTTTTTTAAAAAGTATTTTTATTTCAGAGAGGAGGGGAGAGGGAGAGACAAATATCAATGACTAGAGAGAATCATTGATTGGCTGCCTTCTGCACGCCCCCTATTAGGGATTGAGCACACAACCTGGATATGTGCCCTTGACCAGAATCGAACCTGAGACCCTTCAGTCCACAGGCCCCATGCTCTATTCACTGAGCCAAATCAGCTAGGGCGGGGGTTATTTTTATTTTGCCGGTGAGCAAATGTAGACTCTGAGGTCTTGCCCAAGGTCACAGAGCAAGTGAGCGGGCCAGGGGGAGGGAAGTGAACTGGGGTGCCGGGAGAGGCTGGCTGCAGAGCCTGTGCTATACGTATATATTTCAGAGAGGAAGGGAGAGGGAGAGAGAAACATAAATGATGAGAGAGAATCATTGATCAAGTGCCTCCTGCACGCCCCACACTGGGGATCAAGCCCGCCATCCAGGCATGTGCCTGGACTAAATTAAATCGTGACCTCCTGGTTCCTAGGTCAACACTTAACCACTGAGCCACACAGGCTGGGCACAGCCTGTGCTCGCTTGCTTATTTATTTATTTATTTTTGAGCGGAAATGAAGGTTTATTACAGAAAAGCTCCCTGCTATAGGGAGGAGGCCCAAGCGGGTTGCCCGAGCCTGTGCTTTCAACCACGAAGCTACACTGCTTCTCAGTCATTATTGGAATTGTCAGCAATGCCTGGGTTACGCATGTTGCTGCCTGTTGGAATATCTTTAACATGAGTTAAAGAGCTCTGAAATTATTCCTAGAAAGATGAGAGGCCCTGGGATCGATATTGTCCAGATTTGGGACATTCTTTTTATTCCCGTGGGAAGGAGCCAGAGCCGGTATTGCACATTTTAACAGTAGATGAGGTCACCAAGGAATGAAAATGGGAAACAGAGGGTCTTGCTGATTATTACTGTCAAATTTCTCTAGAGGAAACGCCAGAGAGAACAATGTCAGATGCAAAGAGAAACCCACCAGAAGAAGCGGAAGATGGAGAAACAGAAATGAAAGAAGAAAAATATCCAGATCATGAAGACCTAACACCAGGGAGAGAGACTCAGGAGGAGAAAGAGGCGGAGGATGAGGAAGAGAATGGACAGCTGGAGGAAGAGGAAGAGGAGGAGGAGGAAGAGGAAGAGGAGGAAGAAGAGGAAGGACTGCTGGAGGAAGAGGAAGGGAAAGGACAGCTAGAGGAGGAGGAAGGGGAAGGACTGCTGGAGGAGGAGGAAGAAGAAAAGGGTGGAGCAGGACTGGACAAGGTGGCTGCACGGTTCCAGGAAGAACTCGTGGAGGAGCCCCAACAAATCGCCATGTCCGTGAGCAGTTTGCAGGGACGCCCATTGACTGGTTCCCAGTCACTCACGTCAGAAAGTTCGGTAAGTAGTAGTCATCACCCATCCATCCGTCACCCATCCATCCATCCAATCATTCATAACCATCCATTGAATGCTTACTATATACCAGGCTATGGGCATACAAAACCAAGTAAGACCCATGTGCTCGCTTCGGCAGCACATATACAAAACCAAGTAAGACCCAGTCCATTTCCCATTCTCTTGAGTTCTCGGGTGTGTAAGGCTGCAGACCCACAACCAAACATTATAAAACAACATGCCCAGTGCCGCGACTGAGAGGGGGTATGGGAGTTATTTTTCAAACAAGGACAAATGAACACCGTGTGGAGGGTGGTCCGGGAGAGCTTCCTGGAGGAGGAGCTGACTTTAAAAGGGCCGGTCGGGTTAGCCGGTCCGTGTGCTGCCAGTGTGATAACAGTAACATAAACTTCCCAGAGACCCTCCCTGTAGGAGAAACTCAGCTCCAGTCCAGGGAGGACGGACTCTCTGACCAGTCGGCCTTTTGGAGACCACCAGGAGAATGACTGCGCTGCCTGGTCTGCTCGGAGGCCAGGGACAAACGGGACACGCCCACGACTCGTATTATTTGAATCCCGAGATGTCCAGGCTCCCTTTAAAAACACCTCCTAGCTCCAGGGCGAGACTGACACTGACTTAGGAAAAGACAGGGAAGTCGGTGAGGACGTATTTGGGATCACAGTCTCCTTTCACCTCTTTTCAAAGACAACGCGTTCGCTGCAGGCAGAGAGTCCGAGCACCCCGAGCTCCCACGACTATGACCTGGAGCTCACCAGTTCTGACGAGAAGCTGGTAACTTCCCTTCAAAAGAAGACGGCCCAAGGGCCCCCCGAGACACCGGGCCCCGAGAGAGCTGCCAGGCCGGCAGCAAAGGGGGAGAGGAAGCCAGAAAAGAGAGTGGGCCTCTCGGCCGCGGAAGAAGCGCCCAGAGCTCGCCTCCGGCTGGACTCGCTGGTGTCCATCAGCAGTAAGGACATCTTGTTTGAAAAGGAGGACCAGGTCAGCGTGTATCCCTTGGTGAGTGTGACGTGCTTCTGTGCTTCCCCGGCACTTTGAGGGCATTGTGAACCGGAGGGGGAGAGAAATGCTACCGGAACGATCCTTTTAAAACTCATCACAGACACTGTGTTTTTTAAATTATTATTATTATTATTTTTAAGTCAATCTTTATTGTTCATATTATTACAAAGGTTCCTCATTTCTTCCCCCCTCCACCAGGTTCCCACCCCACCCTCCGCCCCCTCCCCATCCCCCATTGTCCTCATCCATAGGTGCACAGTTTATGTTCAGTCTCTTCCTCCCTCCCTTTCCCCGATAGTAAATCCCTTTTCAGATAGTAAATCAGTTACTTAGCATTTTCTCATATCAATAATACCTCCACATGCCCAATGATACATTTCACACAAAAGACATTTCCAAATAGGTCAACCAGCCTCATCGAGGCCCCACCCAAGGCACTCACAGATCAACACCCCAGCGCTATACTAACTCAACACATCCAGATCTAAGCCTTCATCACTTGATTCAGCAGACCCTCAAGTTACCGGAAAAGTTTCCAGCCATGTCTGAGAGGCAGCCGTGGGGCAGGGGCAGGCGAGGAGCGAGTTCCTGGCCTCTGTTGCTCTGGTTCGTTCCACAACCAGCTGCTCCAGGTCTGGTCACTGCCGCTCCCGACCTAGTTGCTCTGGACTTGGCTGCTGCTGCTCCGGGCCTGGCCGTACCTGACCCGGCTGCTCTGGGCCCAGCTGCTCTGGGCCTGGCCGCTCTGGGCCTGGCCACTCCCCGTCTGGCAGCCGCTGCTCCGAGCCTGGCCTCTCTCTTCCTCTCTGTAAATAAAAAAAATCAATAAAATATATTAAAATATATTGTATTGACTTATTACAGAGAGGAAGGGAGAGAGAGAGTTAGAAACATCGCTCAGCGGCCTCCTCCCACACACCTCCTACTGGGGATGTGCCTGCAACCAAGGTATGTGCCCTTGACCGGAATCGAACCCAGGACCACATAGTCCGCAGGCCGACGCTCTATCCACTGAGCCAAACCAGTTTCAGGTAGACTCTGTGTTTTAAAGTCCAGGGCAGAGCTCTGGCTGGAGATGGGTGGCAGCATGCAGGCGTGAAGGAGCGTTGCCTCCGGGTCCCACAGTGCTGCTCTGCACGCAGGAAATGCCCATGCCGCCATGCCGCCTGTCTTTGCACAGGTGCGGTTTGTGTTTTTGTGTGTGTGTGTGTGGGGGGGGGCCTGAGGGGGGAATTCAAAAATCCATCTCTCCCTCTCCCCCCTCCTCCCCACTCTTTTCCTCCCTTTCTCCTTCCCCTCCCTTTCCCTCTCCCCTCCCTTTTCTCTTTCTCTTCCTTTCCTCCGTCCCTCCCTCACGAGACAACTCCTCCATTCCATCGATTCCTTCTTGTACAATTTTCATTGATTTTTTAGAGAGGAAGGGAGAGGGAGAGAGAAACATTGAATGAGAGAGTGAGATATCTATTGGCTGCCTCCCGCACGCCCCCTCCTGAGGATCGGGCCCGAGACGCTGTCACATGCCCTGACCGGGAATCTAACCAGATGACGCCCAACCAGCCGAGCCACACCCGCAGGGCATCGGCTCCTTATTTTTCCCTCCTCCCGCCTTCATTGGTTCCTGAAATGACCCATTTGCAGACAGATCGTCAAGTAAAAGGTCTGGAGAACTGAAAACCACTGGGAAAGCCACCAGGCCATCCATACTGACAGCATCCTGGGAGGCACCATCTGCAGGAGTAAAAATGTTACCATTTATAAGGGGAGGAAGAGAAGGGCTTCCCCCCCCTTCTTTCTCCATCTGCCGCTTTCTGAAAATTGTTTCCTAGGATTCATCCCCCTCCCCCTTTCCTCCTCTCCCCGTGTAGATTCATGGCTGTGGAAGATCTGTAAGTGACTGAGTGTACGTGAAGTACTGAATGTCGTTCCTAACACACAGCGAGCACCTGACAGGTGTTCACCATGAGAGGAGGAGGAGGAGGAGGAGGGGGAGGGGGGGAGGGGGAAGGGGGAGGAGGGGGACGAGGAGGAGGAGGAGGAGGAGGAGGAGGAGGAGGAGGAGGAGGAGGAGCGGCAAATGCCTGGTGGGAAATTCAGACAACAGACAGCCTCCTTTGTTGGTGTGGCTCCTCTGAGCAGTGGAGTTCAAGGTTAAACTTGCGGTTGCTCAGGCTGGCAGAAAGAACGGTCTGGTTTTAGAGCCAGTGAAGACTTCTGCCTCCATCAGCCAGCTACCAGGACACCAGGGACCGTCACTCATGAGAGCAGGTGGTCTCTGCGTCGGGGCCCCAGTCTCTGGACCCGACAAAAGCCGCTGCCCGGGTTTGGGTCCCCTTCAGCCTCAGGCTCACTGCAGAATCAGGACTTTCCTGGACTCTATGCTTTGCAGATTTGTTTAGCTCTTTTTCCTTTTATCTCCCCCCGCCCCTTTTTTTTATTGTTTCTTCTTTCTGTTAAAATGAATAGATGCTCTTTATTGATTTATTTTTTTAAAGGCAGGATTCCACTTCTTGCACCCTCCCCACCCCAGTGTAATTGCAGCCATCTCCTGTCCCCTCTGTGCTGGTGGCATCCAGGCCAGCTGTGGCTTTGCCCAGCTGCACCTCTATAGGAATCTCTTTCACGTCCCACGTGGAAAGGGTTCGAGTTCTGGAGAAGGGCCTCACACAAATGAAGGGACTTGAGACTTGAAGAAATTCAATTTGGCAATATGGGGGGCCAGGCGGTATTCCAACTCTAGTTGGAGAACTACTCCTGCTCAGGCCCTGCCATCCCTTTTATGAGGCTTTGGGGAAAACATCTTAGGCAGGAAATAATAAGCTTACATGGGACAAACAAGGTGGAGGCTGCTTCAGCTAACAATGTCTCAACTAAAGGGTGAGTGGTTAGAGCAATTAAGGTTGTTGACCAGCCTTCCTGGCTTCCTGTCAACGTCTCTTTTAGTTAAAATGATTTGTTTCCGGCACACCTCCTGGGCCTCACTTGATGCATTTCAACATTAATTTGGTTCCTACTGTTTACCTAGTGCTGGTCATGCTAGGAATAAAGGGGAAAGCCTTGTTCCTCTCGATAACCCTTGAGGAACCCACAGGCCGCTGCCTGGAGACCAGACTCACGTCCAGGAGGAGGCTGGGGCTGCAAGGAGAAGGGGGTGAGGGAAGCGTCTGGCATCACAGCCCGGGGCGGGGCACGTTGGGCGTCTCACTGGTCTCGCGCTGTCTTCCAGACCATGACGTGGAAGTACGGGTGGAACAGCTCCCTGCCCGTGTACTACATCCGAGACCAAAAGCAGAGGGTGCTCCTGTACGCCAGCGCCCACACCGCCGTCATCTACAACGTGTTCAAGAACGACCAGCATCACCTCATGGTAGGCGCTGTGCCCGCTGCAGCCCCACGGCCACCCTCAGCCCGAAGGCAGCATTTCGTTCTTTACCCCGAGGGCCGACCTCACTCTCTATCGCCCTCCTCTCGTCTGAACTGTAGCAAACCCTGTGCTTAGGAACACATTTTATTTTTAATATATATATATATACATTTATATATATATATACACACACACACACACACACACACACACACACACACACACATAGCCGAAACCGGTTTGGCTCAGTGGTAGAGCGTCAGTTTGCAGACTGAAAGGTCCCAGGTTCGATTCCGGTCAAGGGCATGTACATCGGTTGTGGGCACATCCCCGGTGGGGGGTGCGCAGGAGGCAGTTGGTCGATGTTTCTCTCTCATTGACGTTTCTAGCTCTCTATCTCTCTCCCTTCCTCTCTGTAAAAAATCAATAAAATATATTAAAAAATATATATATACATATATATATTATTGATTTTTTTTTTTACAGAGAGGAAGGGAGAGGGATAGAGAGTTAGAAACATTGATCAGCTGCCTCCTGCATACCCCCCACTGGGGATGTGCCTGCAACCAAGGTACATGCCCTTGACTGGAATTGAATCTGGGACCGCAGGCCGATGCTCTATCCATTGAGCCAAACCGATTAGGGCTAGGAACACATTTTATGGTTCATTGTCTCTTTGATTCTAATCAGAATCAATTTACAAACAGCAGCGGATTTTAATTTTATAGTAACATGTATTTAAAACATTTCTGTTAAAGCGTGGTCAGGATAGATGGTGTTGTCTCCGCAGAACTACGCACAAGGGGCTTCCCTCTTAGCTTTCAAAGGGCATTGGTCTGCTTATTCATGCTGAGAGGTGGGTGTTAATCTCCCCATTTCAAGAGAAGAAACTGAGGCTCAGAGCAACCTAACTGACTTGCTCAGGACGGCACTGGTACATGGGGAAGTGGGTTGGAAGCCTGGGTCTTCTGACTTGACAGTATTCCGTGGATCGGTTTGTCCTGTCCCTCCCTTCTTCTCTCTACATCATGTTAACCCTGCTCCGCATCTCCCTGCACAGCCTCCCCGCCTGCCCTCTCCCCACCACTCTGCTTCCTCTGCTCTGACGTTTTAAAAAATATATATATTTTATTGATTTTCCACAGAGAGGAAGGGAGAGGGATAGAGAGCTAGAAACGTTGATGAGAGAGAAACATCGACCAGCTGCCTCCTGCACCCCCCCCCCCCCACCAGGGATGTGCCCGCAACCAACGTACATGCCTTGACCGGAATTGAACCTGGGACCCTTCAGTCTGCAGGCCGACGCTCTATCCACTGAGCCAAAACGGTTTTGGCTGCTCTGACATTTGTGGCCCGTTTCGTAGCCATCATTTACCTGTCCGAGTGCCATGTTTCCTTGGTGTCTAACTTCCTAATAGCTAACCCAATAGACAGTTCTCTGTTCCCCTTTCTATGAACATGTATTTAAAAAATTTTTATTTTGATTTTTAAAATATATTTTTTATTGATTTCAGAGCGGTGGGGGGAGAGAAAGAGAAACATCAATGACGAGAGAGAATCATTGATTGGTTGCTTCCTGCACGCCCTCTACTGGGGATGGAGCCTCTAGCCTGAGCACGTGCCCTGGACTAGGAATCAAACTGTGACCTCTCGGTGCATGGCACAAGGCTCAACCAACTGAGCAACACCAGCCAGGGCAATTAGCATACATTTAAATAAGGACTCCCTTAGTCAATGCCTGGAACAAAACACCACGGAGTGTTTTCCAAGAGGTCATTGTGCCCCGGGTCCCAGACATGTGGCTGCACCTTAAGGCATCTGCCTCCTGGAAGTAGAATCTCCAGCCCCGAGCGCCCGGGAAGGGGCTCAGTTCTCTGCGGGGCTCGGCCTTTCCTGCCAATGCCAGGGCCGGGCTGCCTCCTCCGTGTCTCAGAGCTGCTTCTCTCCGTGTCCGCAGGGCCACCCGAACGTGATCTCCTGCATGTGCATCAGCGAGGATAGGCGGTGGATCGCCACGGCCGACAAAGGGCCCAACTGCCTGCTGATCATGTGGGACTCCTTCACAGGGTAGGCTCAGTCCCTACCCCCCACAGCTGCCCCCCAATTTCCACAGAATGTCTGCCACTGTGACCAGCAGGCAATGAGCAGAGCCGGCGTGGGAGGCTGAAGCCAGGGATGTAATGTAATGCTTTCAACAGTAAGGAATTATTATTTTTTTAAATGTGTGTGTGTGTGTGTATATATATATATATATATATATATATATATATATATATATATATATTTCATAGAGAGGAAGGGAGAGGGATAGAGAGAAATATCAATGAGAGAGAATCATCGATTGGCTGCCCCTTGCACGCTCCCTACTGAGGATTAAGCCTTCAACCCGGGCATGCGCCCTGACCAGGAATCGAGCTGGTCAGCACTCAACCGTTGAGCCACGCTGACCAGGCTCTGCATGATGTTTTCAAGGTTCATCCACGTTGCAGTGTCTCTCTCTTTTTCCCTCCCTCTCTCTCTCTCTCTCTCTGCTTCATTCCTTTTCACGGCTGAGTAATATTCTGCTGTATGGATATACCACATTCATTTATCCACAGTGGTTATGCTTTTGAAGTGCGTCCCCTGTGGGAACCAGGGCAGGCCCAGCAAATGCTTGTCCGTCCCCCCCACCACGTCCTGTCTTGCAGGATTCCCGTGCACACAATCTTCGACAGCTGCCCGGGAGGGGAGGGCATCAGGGCCATAGCCATCACCCGAGATGCCAAGTATCTGGCCACCATCTCGGATGCTGAAGTCCAGGTACAGGGACCTTCAGGGTGGCCTCGGTGGGCTGGCCGACACACCCAGAGCGTCCCCGGGAGCCGCTCTGTTCAGGCCGCGCGGCATCGGCGATGATCTCGGGAAGACTGGACTCCACGTTGTCAGGAGCTCAGTGCCTCGCGGCTTAGCTGGCGGGGCCGTGCTTAGTCAACAAGTCACGGGGTTCACCAGCAGCGTGGTGGCTCCAGAGGCCCCCGGAAACCCGTCCTCCTGTCTGCACTCACTTACAGAGAGTTTGCATCTGGAGGTGGACTTTAGCGGCCGAAACCCCGGCATGCACGCTGGACCTTCCCAAAGAGTACGGTCCTCAGGTGAGTTCCTTCTGAGCCTGGAGGATCTGCCTAAGGTCACACTGAGGCCAGGCCAGAGCGGCTTCTTGTTTCAGTGGCGTTTTGGTGCTACAGAGCTTTTAAAAACGTTTTCATAACCGAGATCTCAGTTGATTTCTGATAATAACTAACTTTTTTGAATACTTATGTGCCAGATTCTGCTATATTCTTTTAAAAATATATATACATATTTTTATTGATTTCAGAGAGGAAGGGAGAGGGAGAGATCGATAGATTGATGGGCTGTCTCCTGCTCAACTTCTACTGGGGACTGAGCCTGAACTCGGGCATGTGCCCTGACTGGGAATTGAACTGTGACTTCCTGGTTCATAGGTTGACACTCAACTACTGAGCCATACTAGCCAGGCTCCAACCTGCTGCTGCTGCCTTTTTTTTAAATAATGCTTTATTATTGAAAGTATTACGTATGTCCCCTTTTTTCCTCCATTGACCCCCTCCAGCCCGCCCCTGTCCCCCCTCCTTGCCTCCCCAGACCTTCAGCACCCTATTGTCTGTGTCCATGGGTTATGTCTGTATGCATTCAACGTCTTTGTCCAACTTGCTTCTTGATGCCACGTCTGTAACCCTGCACCTTGGGCTGTACCATGCCGTCTTTATATATTTTATTGATTTTTTTTTTTTTTTTTACAAATAAGTAGTTATTGGTTATCGATTTTTTACTTGGAAAGTCTCCCCAGGGATTTCTCACTTTTTGTTGTGGGATTGTTTAATTTCTGCATTGCACGTTTCCCTCACTTCTGTAATATCTGCGGGGTTGATTTTGGGGAAGGGAGCCAGGTACTCCTGCTATTCAGCGTTTTTGGCAGGAAGCAGGATCCTCTTCCAATATTTTGTGTTCATCTCAAGCTACCTGTGGCCCTGTCAGATTCAGAAATGTGTATGCAGTGGCCTTTCTTCTGAAGAACACAGAATAAGGTTGTTGGTGAATATTGGTTTACTTTTACTTGTCCTAATTCCTAGATGATGAGCTATAATAAATGAGACTAAGAAAGGGAATACACTGAGACCATTAACTTTAATGATCAGTATTTAAATTATATTCCTGGTGCTTATAAAATGTCTTTTCTGTTTTATATTCCTATTCAATTATGTATTTTAATAAAAATCTCACTTGATTTTTAACATTTAGCTTAACCAGAGAGAAACAGAAAACTTATTGTTTATTGTAATATGTATCCATACTTTATATTTCAGAACTACCTTCTTTTTAATCCAACAAATAATAAAGAATTGGTGAGCAATAGTAAAATACAGGCAATATATTATTTGTGGGTAAGTACAAATATTTCTATTTGTTTTAAATGTACTAACAAACACATGTTCATCCTTTGGGGACAGATGTTTTGGTAATATAACAATATTGTATCTACTTAGGAAGCAATAAATATATTGAAATGTTTTTATTTAATTACAGTACTTATTTTAGTCACATTGGAAATTAGCATATTAATCTGAAGTAGATCATTTAAATTTTATTTAATTTTTAAGTAAAAAAGCAAATATTTATATGAATATATTTAACAGGTCTAAAGTATATAGGGTGGTGTTTTTTTTGTTTTTTGTTTTATATCTTGGGCCTTTTAGAAAGGATTAGAAAACAGATCAGCAATATATATATATATATATATATATATATATATATATACACACACACACACACACACACACACACACTGACACAGGGCAAAATATGACATTAAAACAAGATCAAAAGTCAAACATAGCTCAGCCGGTGTGGCTCAGTGGATTGAGCATCATCCCATGTACCAAGAAGTCGCTGGTTTGATTTCCAGTTAAAGTGTATGCTGGGGTTTCAGACTCCATCCCCAGTAGGAGGTGTGCAGAAGGCAGCTCATTAATGTTTCTCAATCATGGATGTTTCTATCTTTCTCCCTCTCCCTCTTTCCCTCTCTCTAAAAAAACCAATAACAACATATTTTTCTAAAAAGTTAAATGTAAAATTACCATCTGAGCCAACAATTCCTAAGTATAGCCTCAAAAGAATTGAAAACAGACAAAAAAATACTTAGTGTTCACAGCAGCAGTGGCATTTGCAGTAACCAAAAAGTTGAATCAAACCGAATGTCCATCAACACATGAAGGGATACACAAAAGATGGCCCATCTACACAGTGGAATAGTAGGTAGCCATTAAAAGGAGTGAGAGCTGATCCCATCCTACAACGTTGAACCCTGAAACCGTGACGCTGAGTGGAGAAGCTGGCCACAGAAAGTCCCGTGGTGTAAATGGAATAATTCCATTTATGTGAAATGTCCAGAATAGGTAAACCCATCAAGACAGAATCCAGAATAGTGGCTGTCGGGGGCTGGAGGAGGGCTGGGGCAGGACCACTTAATGGGTAGGGGCTTCCCTTTGGGGCAGGAATGATGTTTGCACCGCATTGTTAACCTACAAGTGCCACTGAATGTACACTTCAAAATGGTCAGTGGCTAGTTTTACTTGTGTCCATTTTACCCCAATAAAAGATGCTAATGAGCTGAAACCCGTGTGGCTCAGTGGGTAGAGCATCGGCCTGTGGACTGAAGGGTCCCAGGTTCAAGGGCATGTACGTTGGTTGCAGGCACATCTCTTGTAGGGGGTGTGTGTGTGCAAGAGGCAGCTGATCGATGATTCTCTCATTGATCTTTCTAACTCGCTATCCCTCTCTCTCTTCCTCTGTAAAAAATCAATAAAATATATAAAAAAATAAAATACTTACAATAATTAAAAAAAATTAAAAGATGCCAATGAATAACAAAATCACATGCTTGGCTGCTTTTCAGTGATAATCCTCACTTCAGGTGCTTATGAGAGCTTGAAAGCCTCAAGCACGTAGAATCCACTCACACCTCTTGTCTGGGTGGGTTTACCTGTTCTGGTTTACCCACCGTTCCAAGCCACAGTCACTTGTGGGATTGTCCGCGTATTTGCTCTTCTGGCTGAAGGTTCCGGCTGTCCCTGGAGGCAGCAGGTTCTCCTACCGGGAGAGGCCGCGGAGCTCTGAGCCTGTGGAGACGCGTGTGCTTTGATTTTGTTGTTCCAGAGTTAGTTCTTCTTTGGGAAACCAGGTCTTGGTGTTAGTAGTGATGGTTTGTTTTTTTCTGTGCTTACCAGGATGAAGAGAGAGAGGTGCTTATTCACAGTGCCCCACTTTTAACAGAAAAAGTGAGTATTCCATCGCTTTTTTATTTACTTATATTTATTTTTCCCCCATCGCTTTTCTTTTTTAATATGTTTTATTGATTTTTACATAGAGAGGAATTGAGAGGGATAGAGAGTTAGAAACGTCGATGAGAGAAATACATCGACCAGCTGCCTCTTGCACACCCCCCACTAGGGATGTGCCCGCAACCAAGGTACGTGCCCTTGACCGGAATCGAACCCGGGACCTTTCAGTCCGCAGGCTGACGCTCTATCCACTGAGCCAAACCAGTTTCGGCCCCATCGCTTTTTTATACATGCAATTTTGTGGAGAATAAACATGTCTGTGTTAGCTTAGTCATTTTGGGCTGCTCTCTGCAGGTCTTTTAATATAGGGAAATAATATATAAAAATAGCCGAAACCAGTTTGGCTTAGTGGATAGAGCATCGGCCTGCGGACTGTAAGGTCCCAGGTTCGATTCCGGTCAAGGGCATGTACCTTGGTTGCGGGCACATCCCCAGTAGGAGATGTGCAGGAGGCAGCTGATTGATGTTTCTGTCTCATCGATGTTTCTAGCTCTTTATCCCTCTCCCTTCCTCTTGGTAAAAAAAATCAACAAAATGTATTTTAAAAAGTATATATAGAAATATTTTAGTTGGGTCCTTTACTGTATTGAATTTGTCAGTTGAAAATAACGGATGTGCTGTTTGAAAATAAAATGCAGTAGAAAAGGACATTTACTCCAATGAGAAAATACTCCCCCCAGAAAATGATGGCTTGGTTTCTTTATCCATCTCTGCAGCCTCAGTGGGAAAAGGGGAACAGGTGGAAGCGGAGGTTGGCCACTCTGGCATTTGCTTTCAGCAAACAGTTTAACGGACAGAGGACACAACCCTCCACTCAGTCTTAGCACGTGAGCTTCAGAGTGGCCTGGACCAGGGCCACCCACAGGGGGGCATTTATTTATTTATTTATTTATTTATTTATTTATTTATTTATTTATTTTTTAAGGCATTGATTTGTACTTTTCAAGCTTTTGCATCTTTTTCTCCTATATTTCAGGGCAGTATTATAAAGCGCCGTGTGTTGGTAAACGGTTTGCTTTATACGTATCACCAACGATAACTCATAACCTGCCTTTTGAAACGCAGACATTCAACAAGCACGTGGGGAAGTTCAGCCAGTCCATCTTCCACCTGAACCTGACCCAAGTCCTCTCGGCGACCCTGGAAGGGAAGCTGGTGGTCTGGGATGTGTACCGCCCGCCGCCCTCAGCCTCCGCCTCCCCGGCCCTTCCCTACATCAAGCCTTGTAAACTGGTTCATTTGCAGAAAGAGGGCATCACGGTGCTTACTACCGTTGACAGGTAATTAACGGAACTAAACAGTAGCTGTAGATGATTATAGAAATGCCAGAGGCCCAGTGCACGGATTCGCACACATTGAAAGGAAATTAATCAGAAGGTGGCTGGTGGGTGAGACTGCGAGATGGGCTGGACATACCCTGGAGTCCCTCCCTGACTGGCCGTTCCCGGGCTGGGCGCCGGGGCTCAACGGGCATCTACGGGGTGAACAGGGTCCCTCTGGCAGGTGGGGTCCCTCAGCTTGGCCTGCAGGGATTGGGCCGGAACCAGCAGTCTAACATCTTCCGAGGGGTCCAGAGTGCGAGAGGGCACTCTGCAAAGTTGCTGTCGCTTGGCAGCTCCTGCATTGAGCGTCCGCCCCTTAGTAGTCAGTGTGCATTGTATCTAGTGGCTGGTTGGCCAGTTGTCTGGTAGGCCAGCCACTTAGTCTTTTATATATATAGATTTCATTTCTTAAAAAGACCATCAAAGTCTTTTATAAAATTTTATTTATTGATTTTTAGAGAAACATTGACTTGTTATCCTACTTATTCATGCATTCATTGGTTGATCCTTGTATGTGCCTTGACCGGGGATCGAACCCACAATCTTGACATATCGGACTGATGCTCTAACCAACAGAGCTACCTGGTCAGGACATACAAAGGTATTAAAAAGCCCTTTGAATGTATACCTGTGTTTTGTATATAGATAGAATATACCCAGGGAAATTAGTTGGGCTCAGTGAATAGAGTGTTGGCTTGGGGACTGAAGGGTCCCAGGTTTGATTCCGGTCAAGGACACATGCCTTGGGTTGCAGGCTCAATCCCCAGTATGAGGCACGCAGGAGGCAGCCAATCAATGATTCTATCATTGATGTTTCTATCTCTCTCTCCCCCTTTCCCTTCCTCTCTGAAATCAATAAAAATATATATATTTTAAGAAGCCTTTGCCTCAGAGGGAGAGGGGCTCCCATTCCAGATATATCCCTAGTCTGGCACAGGGAGCTCCAAGCCAAACAGTCCTCATTAGTGTGATAGAGAAGTTCCCAAAAGGATGGAGAAAATTCCCCAGAGACCAGGACTCTGCCCGTGTGGTTCCCCTGCCACCGGCTTTCTGAAAGCTCCTTTGCCTTCCCTTCCCTTTTCTTTTCTTTTTTAAAATCCTCTGGAGGATTTTCTTCCCATTGATTTTTAGAGAGTGAAAGGGCTGGGGAGAGACACACACACACATAGAGAGAAACATCGATGTGAGAGAGACACGCCCCAGCCAGCGCTGGGGATGGATCCTGCAGCCCAGTTACGTGCCCTTGAGCAGAGAATCACTGAGCCAAACCGGCCATGCCCTTTCCTTTCTTTTGTACCGCAGACACGGAGGTGCAGGCTTACAGAGACACGCAGATTGTCATCCTCACTCGGCGGTGCAAAGAGATCAGTAGTAGAATTGCAGTTCACGATGCCATCAACCTTGACTTAGTCGGGGGGTGGGGCGCGGGGGGCGTTGGTTAGGGCCCAGGAAAGACCAGGCCTCGCTCTCCCCCCCGCCCCCCCCCCCCCCCCCCCACGTTCAATGAATCCCAGCCAGGAAAGCTCTGAAAACGCGTGGCCTGTTTTGCCGTTTCTGTCCAGCAGAGGGCAGTGAAAGACGTTTTCGCCAATTACACAGACCACACGCCTTGCTTATTAATCAGAAATCTCAATCAGTTTGGGTATGTAAGACACCACTCCCCCACCCCCCACCCCGCTTCCCCCGTGATTAGAATTATTAAAAAAAGCAAGTCCTTGCCCTTGCTGGTTTGGCTCAGTGGATGGAGCGTCAGACTGCAGACTGAAGGGTCCCAGGTTTGATTCCGGTCAAGGACACATGCCTGAGTTGCAGGCTCGATCCCCAGTAGGGGGCGTGCAGGAGGCAGCCAATCAATGATTCTCTCTCATCATTGATGTTTCTGTTTCTGTCTTTCCCTCTCCTTCCTCCTCCTCTGAAATGAAAGCCTATTTGGGATGGATCTGAGAACTGGAAATAAAAGCACCTTTGCCTTCGGCTGTGGTGATTGGACAGGGTTTTGCATTCCCTGTAAGAGCAGTGCCTTCTTGTTTTCAAAAAATATGTTTTAATTGAATTTTAGATAGAGGAAAGGAGAGGGATATATCAATATATAGAGAGAAACATCGATGAGAGAAACATCATTGATCGGCTGCCTCCTGCACGTCCCCTACTGGGAATGGAGCCCAAAATCCAGCCATGTGCCCTGACCAGGAATCGAACCATGACCTCTTGGTACCTGAGTCGACGATCCACCACTGAGCCACACTGGCCGGGCAGCAGTGCCTTCTTACAAAGTGTCTGGTCTCCCATTTGCAGCTTGTGAGATTGGGAAGGCTGGGAGGTAGACTCTGTGGTCACCTGCAGTCTCAGGGCAGAGAATGTAAGTCACGGAGGCAGGTCTTGGAGAGAGAGAGCAGGGGATCACAGAGCAGAGAGCAGCGACTTGGTGTTGGACACATCTGGACCCCTGCATGGTCTCACCCCCTGAGCCGGAAAGGGTTGCCAGGCATAGGTATGTCCCATACAATATGGGGGACGAACTTACACTCAAAAATTACTCATCGTTTGTCTGAAATCCACATTTAACTGGGCTTCCTGTGTATTTATTTGCTAAATCTGGCTACCCCAGGCCTTGCGCAGGTTTCTTCACTTCTTTGAGCATTAGTTCCCTAGCTGTAAAGGGGATGAGAGCAAAACCAGCCTCACAGGGCAGAGCACTAAGCGAAGTTTTTACAAGGCCCAGAAGGAATCCAGAGCCTGACATACAATTAAGTGCTCAGTATATGGTACCGAGGCCCTGGCTGGGTAGCTCAGTTGGCTGGAGCATCATTCTGATATGCCAAGGTTGCAGGTTCAATCCCCATTCAGGGGACATGCAGGAAGCAACCAATAAATGCATAAGTAAGTGAAGCAACAAATCAGCATTTCTCTCTCTCCCTCCCGCCCCTTCCTCTCTCTCCAACCAACAACAAAGTTTTTTTAATTTGAAAAAATATTTAAAAATAGAGACGGTACTTATTACTGTTCTTTAACAAACTGATGTTGTTCTCCATTTCAGCTACATTGTCACAGGTGACGTGAAGGGTAGCATTAAGTTCTACGACTGCACCCTGTCCATCCTTAACTGGTTCAGCAACTTCAAGCTGAGCTCCATCAGAACGCTGTCCTTCTCCAAGACCCCCGCAACGCCGCCCACCGAGAAATCAAACTACCCTTCAGACTGCACCTTAAAAGGCGACACTTTTGTCGTAAGGTACGTTGTTCATGAATCCAGTCATTTGGATGGTCAGAAAGGATTGGCCCGGAGGGTCCACCTTGTTCCTGGGAGGGGAAGTGAGGGAACTGGCCATCCTGGTCAGTCCTGGACCTGGCTGGTAGATGGGTCTCTCTGGTGAGTATAATCCCTACTCATAAAAAATATATATATACATATATATATATATAATTATTGATTTTTTACAGAGAGGAAGGGAGAGGGATAGTGTGTCAGAAACATGGATGAGAGAGAATCATTGATCAGCTGCCTCCTGCACACCCCCCACTGGGGACGCGCCCGCAACCAAGGTACATGCCCTTGACCGGAATCGAACCTGGGACCCGTCAGTCCATAGGCCGACGCTCTATCCACTGAGCAAAACCAGCCAGGGCCCTATTCATTTAAAAAAATGAAACATGAATTTCATGTGAAGAATCTTCCGTGACTGGAAGCTGAAAGGGCTAATCCCTCAGCTCTGAGCTCTGAGCTCTGCTCTGCCTGGAGCCCCGTGCTTGCAGGCTGGTCTCTTCTGGAAGCCGAGTGTGTCCTCGTGGCGCAGTTAAAGGCCTCGGATAATTAATAGCCATAACATTTCAAGACGGAATTATGTGCGAGCCTGCTCAATTACCCTGGCGGTAGCTGCCGGCGCGGCTGTATGTGCGCGCCCAGCTCCGTATTTGCATACACAAATGAATATTTGCATGTGCAGATTAGCTAATTGTACAACCGACTGTCCATCTGCATGCCTAATGACTCCATCTCCATGGAGAAATGTGGGCTTTTTCGCTTGCAAATGGAGGCTGCTGGGGGTGCGTGGTGTATTTTTGGAGGCGCTGGGTTAATAATGTCACTAAATTACAGACGACAGAGGCGTTTCACGGGCAATTAAGAAGCAGCGCGGCTGGCACGCCCGTTCCCTGCGAACGCTGATGCCGTTCGGTCTCTGCTTGGCAAACAGGAATTTTATCATCGGAACATCTGACGCGATCGTGTACCACTTAAAGGCGGATGAGACCAAACTGGAGAAGCTAATCATAGAGCCCAAGGAAGCCATTTGCGCCATTGCCTGCCACCCCTATAAGCCCCTCATCACCATCGGGAGCTTCTGTGGGATGATCAAGGTGTGGGATTACAGGAAGAAAAGAAACCTTTTCAGCAGAGTCTTCGAGAAGGGGCTTGGGATCCAGAGCCTGACCTACAACCCCGAAGGTATTTCCGTTTTACCAGCCTCTTAGGTTCCAGAGCGAGGCAGACACAAATGGCTGCGGCCTCGGCTGTCACAGCTGCCTCGACCCAACTCCCTCCGCCTGGACAGAAGAGACACTTCCTCTGAGCCTGCATCCCAGCTGTCATGCTTTTCAGGGTGGTTTTTGTGGGTTTTTTTTTCCTCCTACGGGGGACCTTGTCTGTCACAGACAAGGCCTGGCACAAAGTCTGTGTTTCTTAAAAAATTGAAACATTTTTATTGATTTCAGAGAGGAAGGGAGAGGGAGAGAGAGAGAAACATCAATGATGAGAGAGAATCTGACCGGTTGCCTCCTGCACCCCCCCCCCCCCCACACACACACACTGGGGATCAAGCCTGCAATCTCTGGGCATGTGCCCTGTCCTGGAATTGAACTGTGACCTCCTGGTTCATAAGGTGGACGCTCAACCATTGAGCCACACCAGCCGGGCGAGAAGCCCTTTTCGACCGCTGTTCTCTGGCCTGTGATTTCAGGAAACCTCCTTGGAGCTGGCTTCACAGAGGGGACAGTTTACATTCTTGATGCAATGTCCTTGGAAAACGGAATCCCAGAGCCTTTCAAATATTCCAGGACCAGCGTGACTCACATAAGCTTCTCCCATAACTCCCAGTACATGGCAACCGCGGTGAGTGTTTCCGCCCAGAGCTGTTCTGTGTGGCGCAGCAGCCTTACCGAAAACCAGAGGAGGCACCGGCCCCGGTCGCTCCGTTGGCTGGAGTCATCCTGATTCACAGAGATCTCTAGTCAGGGCACATGCAAGAATCAACCCGTAAATGCATACATAAGTGGGACAACAAACCAGTCTCTCTCCCTCTCTATTCCCCTCCTGCCCCCCTTTCTTTCTCTAAAAAAAAATTTTTTTTTTAAAGAGGGGGGCGCCTGGCTGGCTGGTGTAGCTCAGTGGTTGAGCATTGACCCATGAACCAGGAGGTTAGGGTTTGATTCCTAGTCAGGGCACATGCCTGGGTTTAGGGCTCAATCCCCATAGGGGGCATGCAGGAGGCAGCCATTCGAAAATTCTCTGTCATCATTGATGTTTTTTTCCCCCCTCTCTCTCTCCCTCCCTTCTTCTTAGAAATAAATTAAAAAACATTAAAAAATAGGAGGATTGGGGGTGTGTGAAGAATAACTGCTAAAGGATTCAGGGGTTCTTTTGGGGGTGTTGAAAATGCTCTGAAATTTTGATGATGGATGTACAGCTCGGAATATACTAAAACTCATTTAAATGAGTTGCACTATATGTGAATTATAGCTCGATAAAGCTGTTTTCAAAAGAGAAAGAGGTGGGGTGAGGGGACTTTTGCCTGAAAATAAGCCAGGGCCTCAGAACTTCCAAGCTTGGACCCTGATGTGTCTGCTCACTGTGGTTTGCTAGTTTTGGGGGCCCCTTCTCTGCACCCATCCTTTCATCTGTCCCTTTCCTTTTTGTGACAAGATGACATTCTCCTTTTTCTCAAAGCCAAGTCTTCCGCCCGTGCTTTGGATTCTGTCTTCCCCTCTGTGAACAGGGCTCCTCAACCCAGAGAAGACGCCCTCCGCCCTCCGCCCTCCCCCTTCCTGCCAGGCCTCATCCCACCTGGATGTTTGTGGGAAGAGACAAAGCAACCTCTTCACTCGACAAAACCCCGTCCATTCCTTCCGGCGCTTCCCCATCGCCGCCGCCTCCTCGGCCTGACCCGCCTTCCGGGCCGATCACAGCGCCGCCCAAGGCCAGAGGCCACCCCACATTGTGTCCTTCAGGCCACTGTCACCCTCTCTCTGACCGTGTCACTCTCAGCCATGATACTTAAAAAAAATATTTTTTATAGTGAGCATTTGTCATTTTTTTAGGAGAATATTTTTTTGTTTTGTTAATTCTCACCCAAGAATATTTTTTCCATTGTTTTTTTAGAGAGAGAGTAGAAGGGAGGGAAGGAGAGGGAAAGAAAGAGAGAAACATCAATTTGAAAGAGACACATCGATTGGTTGCCTCCCAAATGCACCCCTGAACAGGACTAGGGAGTGAGCCTGCAACCCAGGTACATGCCCTTGACTAGGAATCGAACCTGCCACCCTTTGGTTCAAGGGCCGAAACTCTACCCGCTGAGCCACACTGGCCAGGGCTCAGCCATCATACTTTTTAGAAAAAATGTCTACCTTTTCATTGTGCTGGATGTAGAGATGGGGAGACAAAGGCAAAAGGAGTCAAGGCTTCCACAGAGAATGAGGTGGGGGCGAGATGGTGTCTGAGACACACCTGCTCCCCCATTGCCTTTGTGAGTTATCTACTTTGAACCTCAATGTTCTCATCTGTAAAATGGGCATAATTTTACCACTTGCTCCGATAGACAAAGGTTTATTTTCAGACATAATATTCTAACAGCGAAATTGGTACAAAAAAATGTAATGATGACTTTTTAAATTGCTTTTGAGAGAGAGAGAGAGAGAGAGAGATTTGTTGTTCTACTTGTTTATGCATTCATTGGTTGCGTCTTGTATGTGCCCTGAAAGAGACCAAATCCATAACTGTGACATATTGGGATGATGATCTAACCCAGTGGTCGGCAAAATGCGGCTCAAGAGCCACATGTGGCTCTTTGGCCCTTTGAGTTTTTAGCAAAGGCCAGCTTAGGAGTTCCCTAATTAAGTTAATAACAATGTACCTACCTATATAGTTTTAAAAATTTGGCTCTCAAAAGAAATTTCAATGGTATTGTTGATATTTGGCTTTGTTCACTAATGAGTTTGCCGACCACTGTTCTAACCAACTGAGCTACCCAGCCAGGGCAATAAGGGTGATTTTTAAGTTAAAAACTGTGAAAAGGAATAACTTGTGTTCTTTTGCTCTTATTCAGGATGCAAGCTTTACCGTGGCCGTTTACGTGGTCAAGGTTAGAAACAGTCAGAGGGTCTGGGAATACCTGGCAAGGCTGCGCTCTCATCGCCAGAGCCTCCGGAGCCTCCTGTTCGGGGTCCATCTGGACAGCAACGAGCCCAGACTGCTGAGCCTCGGGAGGGACAGGCTCCTGGTGAGCGGGGTCGTTTCCGTGTCTCATTCGTGTTCCACCCTGGCGTCCGGCTCAGCCCCGGGCCCGCGCGCGCGCGCGTGTGTGTGTGTGTGTGTGTGTGTGTCTGTTGGAGACAATGAATGCACCGAAAAGTAGTGTAAACCTCTCCGAGTTGGCACTTGGTCTTAACCCAGCTGCGACTCGTGTCCTGAGTGAGGAGGCTTCTGGGAAGCAGCGCGGCGGGCGGCAGGGAGGTGGTGTTCCCACAGCGTGGAAAACCTAGCCGCCCTCGCCTCTCGGGGCAATTTGGAAAGCCGACACTCACTGACACTTCTTCGTGTCCAGGGGTTGGGGGCAGGCTGTTACCTAAATGTGACAGCTAACAGAGAATGTGAGATAAGAGGGAAAGACAGGGACAGCGTCAAATGTAACGTTACATGATCCAGCCAAAAGCATTCGAAATCAATCAGTCTGTGTATCTGTCCATCATCTTAATTTCCCTTCCCTTCCTTTATTCTATCCATTCACCCATCCACCCATCCATCCTTCCATCCTGGCTTGGCCACCAAAACCTGTCTGTGGGTGAAATTCAGCAGGCTTCTAATTTATGACCATCAAGTGCTGAGACTTAGGTGTGAATGAGTTCCTACCCCCAAATAATGGGAAAGGAAGCAGATAACATAACTGTCCGAGTTCGGGTTTTGGAGTCAGTTGGACCTAAATCTGAATCCTCACCCTACCGCTACTTAACTGCCTGACCTTGGGCAAGCCCCTGGACCTCTCTGGACATCGGTTTTCTCATCCGTAAAATGGGCACAGCGGTACTACTTGGCCGGGAGTGGTGAGCATCAAATGGCATCATGTTTCAGAGCGCTTACTCCTCATTTTGCTCGTAAGGAAGACTCCCTCATGGTAGCTTTTGAGGTTAAGGGTCTAGTTGAGTCTTCTCTCAGAATAGGACTTCGGGCTGACTTCATCCAGCTCACGTTTGTCCGTCTGGGCTCCTCTGCAGATCGAGTATAATCTTCTGAAGAGCCACAAAAACCACCTGGAAGTGCTGGACATTCACCAGACCGACCAGGGCAGCTACCCCACCTGCATGATCTGGTACCCTCCGCTCACCAAGGAGCTCTTCCTGCTCATCTCCAACAGCGGCTACAAAGTGAAGCTTTTCAACTCTACCACCAAGATGTGCAGGTACGCCCGCGGTGCCCGCCGACATGGCACGTGATCCAGTTTCTCGGCCCCTGGCCCGTTTCAAGTCCCCTCTTACCGACCTGTGAGCAGCGTGGCTATCGCTGGTTTTGCAGAGGAGGACACCGAGGCACGGGTAAGGTCACCGGGCTGGGAAGTGCCAGAGGAGAGATTCCAGCCCAAAGCCCAGGCTTCTGAGCCCTGCCCTGCACAGAGATAGGGCACCAGAACTCAGTGCCAGAGGAGCAGAGAAGGAGCCAGAAAAGTCACTGATGCTCAGTGAAACCTTCCATTCTGCTCTGGCCGGGGTCGCTCAGTCCTTAGAGTGTCGGCCCAAGAACCAAAGTGTCATGGGTTCAATTCCTGGTCAAGGGTACGTACCTGGGTTACAGGATTGATCCCCGGCCCAATGTGCATATGGGAGGCAACTAATTGATGTCTCTCTCATATCAATACCTCTCTCTCTCTCTTCTCTCCTTCTACTCCTTCCTCCCTCCCTTTCACTTTCTCTCAAAAAAAAAAAAAATCAATGGAAAAAATATTCTGGAGAGCAGGGGCACTGAGGCAGGAGAGACAGAGTGAGAATGCTGGAAAGTGGTCAGCAGTAGCTGACCCCAGGCTTGCGAAGGTCATTTAAAAAATTGTATCTCAATAAAATGGATCCCCCAAAGGCCACAATCACCCAGAACTTTTAAAAATTCTTTCAAGAAGGGCATAAAGAGAAATGACTGAGAAGTGCCCTGTCGTATGGCAGAACTGGAGAGAAATCCAGTTCAATTAAAAACAACGATGAAAACACGGGAAGGAGGCATTTGGAGGAAATGTGTAAAAAGGAGTTTTAGGAAGATTGCAGTCTTCGTACGTCACCGTTAATGGGCACAAACTTACTGGACAGAGAATATCCTGTAGATGTGCCCAGTTCTGAGAAGACGGAGCTTGCTGAGTGGACGGGGAAGGTACCGTACCAGGCCTGAAGCTCCGCCCACAGTCACCGACCAGGACTTGGAGCCACACACTCAGCAGTTTTTGTACTTGAAAATCAGCCTGGAATTAGCAGAAAGATCTTCCTTCCTCCTCCCTCCATTCATCCCCCTCTCCCTCTCTCCCTCCTTCTTTTTCTTCTTTCCTTCCTTCTTTCCTTCCTTCTCAGCAGAGGATATTTTTTTCCCCTTGACTTTTTAGAGAGAGTGGAAGAGAGAGAGAGAGAAAGAGAGAGAGAGGATATTGATGTGAGAGAGACACATTGACTGGTTGCCCCCACAGGTGCCCTTGACCAGGAATTGAACCTGCAACCCTTAGATGCACAGGTCAACACTGTAACCACTGACCACACTGGTCAGGGCAGTATCTTTCTTAAGAAATAAATGTATGGAGATAAAACTAACCATTTTATAGTGGACAGGTCTGAGGCACTGAGTGTATTTATTCATAGTGTTGTTCAACCACCACCTCTGGTTCAGACATTTCATCCTTCCAAGTGAAACCCCCACGGAAAGCACTGGAAGTGGCAGGAATAATAAAGCCTTGTGACCACACCTTAGCTGGGAAGGAACTGTCTTTTCATGATGAATCTAAAAGCAGGTTTCAAATGCGTTTAAAAATATTTGAAAGGACACGAGAGGCAGTTCACAGGGAAAGGCCAATAATCCTGAGCAGATGCTCCCTGGAATCGCACAAATGCAAATGAGAGCAAGACACCGTTCCCACAAATCAGATTAGCAGAGATAGAAATGATCGATGGCGTCGGGAGGGGTGCGTCTCCCAGCAGCTGCTGCGGGGCTGGAACCGGTGACCTTTGGGAGCGTGCAAGCAATCCGTTACCCTCGATTAAATGTGATAGTATCTCCAACTTCCAGGAACCCGGCCCCAGAAGGGCTCACGGTATGCCAAGACGTAAGTCAAAGGGTGTCTTGTTTGAAAATATTTTTAAAAATGGAAACAATCCAAATGTCTATTAATAGGGGATTAGTTAGATGGTGGCTTGTCAGTGCACTGAAACATGATGCTTTTATTTTTCAAGTTTTATTTTTTTTTAGTTGAGAGATAGCGAGAGAGCTGTTTGTTGTTTCATTTATTTATGCATTCTGAGTACTTCTTGTAAATGCCCTCACCGGGATTGAACCTGCAACCTTGGCGTATCCGGATGGTGCTCTAACCGGTTGAGCTCCCGTGGCCTGGGCAAACATGACGCTGTTTTTAGAAAAGAAAAAAGAAGCCTCTCCCTCTAACCTCCCGGCCCGCCCCTGGGAAGGGGCGCTGACGCCTCCCGCCAGCGCGAGTCACTTCCTCGCCACGGCCTTTTCCCGTCCCTCGTCCCTCGTTCATGTACACGTTCTCGAGGCACAATGTTCCCTTCACTCAGCTGTCAGGAGGCCAGGCAGGGGCTCCCCGGGGGCCCTCGCTGTTTGAAGCTGTTGCCCTCATTTACAGCCGCTGGAGCCGCGGGGAGAGCGCGTCTCATGGACGGCTCTGCTGAGTGACAGGCAGGAGACGCAAAGTTGGGAACGTGCAGGGGATCACGGAAGGCAGCCAGTCATAAAGCCCGTGTTCCGATCTGTGGGGTTGGAAACGGCTCTCTTCTTCCCTCAGAAAGACCCTCCTGGGACCGGTGTACGGGTCTCCCATGGAGCAGATCCAGGTCCTGCCTGTGAAAGCCGCCATCGAGCTGCCGAGGCGCTACCTGGTGTTCATCAACAGAGACAAGGTACGCGCCGCTCTGCCTGCCTCTGAGAGGCGACCGTGTGTTTGGGTGGCGGTCGGTATCAAGGATTCTATCAAGGATGCTTGGTTTCCTTGCCAAGACCAGCTCCCTCCACCCTGGTCCACGGTGATACTGACAACTGCCACACAAACGAGGGTGACCCTGAGAAGGCATCTCCAAGCAGATACATGGTCCCCTAAAGAATTCTGTTCTTCCTTACTTATTTACCTGGGGAAAAAATCTTGCTCGCCCAGTGTGACTTATGGTTGAGCATCAACCCGTGAACCAGGTGGTCATAGTTTGATTCCCTGACATGGCTCTTGCCCAGGGTGCAGGCTTGATCCCCAGTAAGGGGGTGTATAGGAGACAGCTGGTCAGTGATTCCCTCTCATCATTGATGTTTCTATCTTTCTCCTCTCCCTTCCTCTCTCTGAAATCAATCTATCTATCTATCTATCTATCTATCTATCTATCTATCTATATAAAAGCCTAAGTGACTGAACAACTGATCCACTTGTCACTATGATGTGCACTGACCACCAGGGGGCAGATGCTCCCACAGCTAGCCCAATTGACCCCACCAACCTCCTGTGGCCCCTCATCCCGGCCAGCCAGTTCTGATTGGCCCTGAGCCCCAATCAGGGCAGGAGACAGCCCCAATTGGCCATAGTACCCCACCAACGCATGAATCCGTGCACTGGGCCTCTAGTGTATATATAAAAGGCTAATATGCTAAGTGTCTGACCATCCAACCAGTCACTATGATGCACACTAACCACCAAGGGGCAGATGCTCAACGCAGGAGCTGCTGTGATGCACACTGGCCATTTACAGAGAAATGACACCATGGACCTGGCACCCACAAAGCAACACTCAGCTTCCCCCAAGTGGGACACAGGCCCCACCACCAGCCTGGAGCAACAGCCCACCAAGTTGCAGCTGATGCTGCCGAGACCCCAGGGTGCGAAATGCAGCCCACAGCCCATCCCAGCCCAGAAACAGTGGCTGTGGGCACTGGGTAATGACATCACGTAGCAATATCCAGCTTCCTCTCTCTAGCAACTAGCCTCCTTAGAGTTTCTTCAGCCCAGTAACATGACTTGCTTTATAGCCAGGTGGAAACATTTTACACTTTAACCAAATGTCTTCAAAGCATTTCCTGTGCCTCATCTCATTTGATCCTCACAGAAGTCCTGGAGGAGGTAGGTAGATAGGAGACTCGGTGGAGTCCTATTTTCTTTTCATTAGCCAGGAAACAGAGATTTAAAAAGTTTAGAAACTTGACCCGACTGAAAAGTAAGAAATGGTGGACCTTGAAAATGATTTCAGGTTTTCTCACTGTGCAGAAGAGAGTCAAACACTGTTGCAATTAAATATTTTACCCTTTGCTCTCCCTCTGTGATCTACAATAATAATCTGCTTCACATTGATATTTACTGCTGTGTTGCTGACAATTATCTGAAAGAGAAAGTGAGGTGCTTCGCTGGGCTGTAAAAAGTTTAGCTACATCAGAAAGCAGGTCTAATTAAGCAAGTTTATTCTCTCTATATAAAAGGCTAAGTTGACCTGCACATGTGTGATATGTATAAAGCTCTCACTGGTGCCAATTGCACGCATGTGTTTCTATCTGTCATTGTCGATCATGAATTTTTTTGACACTTCCATTATAGAGAAAGGGTGAATAGTGATATTAAAATATTCCTTCTAATTAATTTCCTTTCAATGTGCACAAATTTGTGCACCAGGCCACTAGTAAACATATTTTTAAAATCTTATAAAGGCATTCAATTAGTTACACTTAGTTGTGCATTTAATGAGTAACCTATAAGGGAAAGCATAACATCGCAAAATGTTTATTCTGGAAAACTTGGACATCCGCCCATGAAGACGAGAGGAAAGCTCCCCTCTGTGTCCTTGCTGGAACCTGGCGTCTCTCTCCTAAGGGACCACCCTGCAGGGGTCCGTGTGTGCGAACCCTCTGCCACCTGAAACGTGGCTCACACACCCTGAGCCGGTTCCCGGCACAAGGGTCTTCCCAGTGGCAGACCTGAAGGTCACTGTGGAGGTGCTAGGCCCAGCCTGGGACCTGCTCATCTGAGCCTGAGTATCCGATTGCCTGTTCCTTTCCAGGTCGGACTCCAGATCTTACCGATAGATGGCAATCCCCATAAGACCTGTGCTATCGTCTGCCACCCAAACGGGACGGCCGGGATGGCCCTCTCCTATAATGGCCACTACATCTTCACGGCCGGAGGACAGGACCTCTCTGTGGTGCAGTGGGAAGTCAACCTCAGGTGCGTGTTGGGTGAGCAGCTTGGTCCTGAGAGGAAGGGGTCCAGTGCAGAAGCCCCTCTTAATACTCAGCAACAGCAGACAGGTGTCACACCCCGACCAACGCCGGGCACTGTGCCAGGGCCGCGGTTACAAAGGTGACCAGGGACTCAGGCGTTACCAGGCCAGTGTGGCTCAGTGGTTGAGCCTGGAGCTATGAACCAGGAGGTCACGGTTCTATTCCCGGTCAGGGTATGTGCCCAGGTTGCGGGCTCGGTCCCCGATGGGGGTGGGTGCAGGAGGCAGCCAATTGGTGATTCTCTCTCATCATTGATGATTCTGTCTCTCTTCTCTCTTCTTCTCTGAAATCAATAGAACTATTTTTTTTTTAAGAATGTAAAAACAAAAGGACCCAGGCCTTGCCCTAGGTCACTCCCTGTGGCGACGAACGCTTGCTACTCTGCCTGCAGGGGACATGGTATAGTTCCGACACCAGAGGCTGCTCGCAGAGGGTGGGGCTCCTGCAAGCCTGTCCCCTTGGGCATTCCTGGAGTCAGCAGGCTCCTTGGTGTTACTCCTGGCCTTTACCCAGCGCTCCTCCAGAGCCACGGGCCACAGTGGCCTCCCTGCCCACGGGACCTGTTGGGACTGGGCTTGGGCCCGGCCTGGAGGCCACAGCAATGGATACCCCCAGCTGGGTACCTGCCTCGATGGCTAGCACCAGAGCCAAGGGCCGCGTGAGGACTGGCTAGGTCCCCAGGTCCACCCGGCGAACACGCTGGCTCCACAGACCTTGTGCAGGGCGAGAGGACTGGGCAGTTTTGTGGGAGGTGGGGGTGCATGTCCGTTCCCAGTCAATGGTAGTAATAGTTTTAACTACTCATCCCAGATCTGTTCTGGGCCAGGCCCTGTCCGGTGCTTTCCACATACTGTCCGATTCCATCTTCACAGCTGCCCGGGGGGAAGGGGGGCGCTGTCGCCGTCCCCACTGTACAGGCCTGGAAACTAGCTCCCAGGGGTTACGTGACCTGCAGAGCGGTGACCGAGTGGTGGTGGGGTGGGGGTTCTCACCGTCTTTCTGATTCAGGCCCACACCTCAGCAGACACCCATCACAGCACAAAAATAAAGGATTTCTTGTCCTCGCCAGTTTGGCTCACTGGATAGAGCATTGGCTTGTGGACTGAAGGGTCCCAGGTTCGATTCCTGGTTGAGGGCACATGCCCAGGTTGCAGACTCATCCCAGTGGAGGGCATACAGGAGGTGGCCAATCAGTGAATCTCTATTATCATTGATGTTTCTATCTCCCCCCCCTTCCCCTCTGAAATCAATAAAAAAATATATTTTTAAAAAATAAAGGACTTCTTGACCAATCCTTTATTGCATCCATTTAATTCTCACAACAACCTGTGAGGCAGACCCTGCACTTGTTCCCACTTTACAGAAGAGGAGACTGAGGTCCAGGAAGGTGAAGTTACCTGCAAGGGGCAGAACCAGGAGCCCAGACTCTAGATACTAAACCACTTCCCTGCTGTGGTCTACACTGCAGTGTGTTGTGGTTTTTTAAAAAAAATTTTTTTTTATTGATTTCAGAGAGGAAGGGAGAGGGAGAGAGAGAGAGAATCATTGATCGGCTTCTGCACACCCCACACTGGTGATCAAGCCCGTAACATGGGCACGTGCCCTGACCGGGAATGGAACCCTGACCTTCTGGCTCATAGGTCGATGCTCAACCACCGAGCCACACTGGCCGGCGGCAGTGTGTTTTAACAGCCCACAAGGAGGCTGCTGGCCTGGTTAGCAGAGGTCCAGTTAGTGGGTTATTATAATGATTTCATATTATTATTAGCATTCTACGTGAGGCAAAGGCGGTCCCATACAAAAGTAGGTTTTCTTACCTCACGGGCCTATTTTTGGAAAACCTGACCCGGTGTTAGAGAGCAGAGGGTTATTTTTATCCGACCGGCATGGGCCCCCTGTGGCCTCCCGAGTTTTCATGGAAGCAATTAGGGCTGGCAGTTCACCTCTCCCACCCGGTGCCCTCGGCCCTGGCCGCGTGCAGGTCTCCGGTCAGGGTCACGGTCGCGGGCAGAGCCGCTGTGCGGGGAGGACGGTGGCTTCCGCACGCAGGAGCCCTCCTCTGGGGAGGCATGGTCCCCGGAGATCGCAGACACCTTGCCAAGCGCCTAATCTGCCGTCTGCGAGCGGGTGTCACCGTCATTGAGGCGTTTGACCTGTACCACCGGGCGCTGCGCTTGGCAATGAAAAATGAATTTTTCATTTTTGGCTTCATCATGGAAGGCATTTTCTTTTTCTTTTCTTTTTAAAAAAAAATATATTTTATTGACTTTTTTGCAGAGAGGAAGGGAGAGGGATAGAGAGCTAGAAACGTCAGTGAGAGAGATATATCGACCAGCTGCCTCCTGCAACCTCCCTCCACTGGGGATGTGCCCACAACCAAGGTACATGCCTTTGGCCAGAATTGAACCCGGGCGCTCTATCCACTGAGCCAAACCGGTTTCAGCTGGAGGTCTTAGCAGGTTTACTGAGACCCTGATTGTAGCTGCGCCCCAGAATAGCCTCCGGGGGCCCGCAGTGCCCAGCGCCCCGGCCCAGGCTGCTGGCGCTTTCTAACAGCCCCGTTTCTGCTCCCGTTCCAGCGCCCTGGAGGCGGCCGTTTCTCTCGGGGGCGAAGACCTGATCCCGTTCTATGGCCTGGTGTCTGGTGGCAGGGAAGGAAAATTCTACAGGGTAATCGTCCTCAGAGTAAACACTGCCCGGTAACATGGAGTTAGGAGTTTGCAAAACACACCTGCCCAGGGTTAACCCTCTTGCTTTCCCCCTCAAAGCTCTTTTTCTCTCTCCTCCCTACCCCCACTAAGCTTCAAATGTACTTTCTAGAAAATGTCCTTGAAGTCTTAATGGATGCTTCCCACTTAAGCCACAATGCACACTGTGTTTCCATTTTCTCTCCACGCAGGAGCTGGAAGACTATTTTTACTACTCACAGCTCCGTAGCCAAGGTATCGACACAATGGAGGCCAGGAAGGTGTCGGAACACATTTGCCTGTCGGAGGTGCCTTTTGTCATGAGAGCCATCGGCTTTTACCCATCGGAGGAGAAGGTAGGCAGGGGGAGGGCGAGGACGGCTGGTGTGGCTCAGTGGTTGAGCATTGATTGACCTGTGAACCAGGAGGTCACTGTTGAATCCCCGGTCAGGGCCATGCTCCGGTTGCCATCTCAATACCCAGTGGGGTTTGTGCAGGAGGCAGCACGTCGATGATTCTCTCTCATCATGGATGTTTCTAGCCCTCTCTCCCTCTCCCTTCCTCTCTGAAATCAATAAGAACATGTTTTTTAAAAATGCAACTGATTGGGTTTCTTCCTGACTTTAAATGTTAACACATCGGAGATGAAACAGGTGTCAGCCTGCAGACTGAAAGGTCCCAGGTTTGATTCCGGACAAGGGCATGTACCTTGGTTGTGGGCACATCCCCAGTAGGAGGTGTGCAGGAGGCAGCTGATCAATGTTTCTCTCTCATCAGTGTTTCTAACTCTATATCTCTCGCCCTTCCTCTCTGTGAAAAATCAATAAAATATTGTATATTTTTTTAAAAAGGTTAACACATCGGAGAAGATATATAAGTGGAATGAAGAAAACAATTATAGTCCCTCTGCACAGGCTTAATGGTTATTAGTATTTTAAATCACACACACACACATTTATTTTAATTTTTAAAATCCTTATCCCAGGATATGTTTTTATTGATTTTTAGAGAGAGAGAGGAAGGGAGGAGGGGAGAGAGCGAGAGAGAAACATTGATTGTTTGCCTTTCATATGCTCTCTGACTGCAGATCAAACCTGCAACCTAGATATGTGCCCTGACTGGGAATCAAACCCACAACCTTTTGGTGTACAGAACGATGTTCCAACCAACTGAACCGCCCAGCCAGAGCTTCTCACTGTGTTTTTAAGGTGCCTCCACGTTGTAGTATGAATCAGTCCTGCGTTCCTTTTTATGTCTGGATCTTATTCTACTCATTCATGTGGGCAGGGCACCTCTTATTTCTTTCCCTTCGTCACCTGGTGGACACCTGGCTGTCCCCACCTTTTGGCTGTTAGGAGGAATACTGTCTTGAGTATTTGCCTACACGTCTTTGTGCACTAGTAGAGGTGCGTTTTAACTTCTCTTGCATGCACACCTGGGAGGGATATGGCTGTGTCAGTGGTGACTTCGTGGCGAACTGTTTGAGGAACTGCCAGTGTCTGTTACTATCTATCTTATCTATCCATCTGTCACCTATCTATTTAAATTGATTGTGGTAACCTTGGTTAATAGGATCATACAGGTTTCAGGTGTGGATTTCTGTGTTACAGGATCTGAATACCACTGTCCTTTATCCACACTATTTCTGGGTGCAGCTGCAAGGCAGGATCGAGCTTTCAAAGAGCTGCGGGCCCTTCGCTGACCCTCGATTGTGGGTTTGGAACAAGATGAAGGACTCGTCTTTCTGATTTGCAAACCTTAAAAACCTTCATGGGAGGCAGGAAAGCGTCCCTGGGAAGTTTGAGGCCCGGGCTCTGGTGAGCAGCTGGGAGAAGGTCGCCAGGAAGGGCCCTGGGATGGGGTGGTGGCCTCATTTTTGAGTCACCCACCCCAGACGACAGGGAGACAGCGCTGTGGCCAGGCACCACAGGTGACCGCGTCCCATGGGCAGGACTTGGCGCTCCGTGGCGTGTCCCTGGACAGAGGCAGCTGTCATCCAGATGTGGTGACTGGCGGAAGCAGAGGGCGGCTGTGAGCACAGCATGATGCAGAAATAGAGGCGTCTCCAGATGTGACTGTCATGCCCCTGCCCAGCCCTGACCCTTGCCCCTCAGCCCCTCCTCTCGTGCCCCAGGTCAGCGCAGAAGCGCTGGGGGAGCAACACGAAGGTGATGCTGCGACAGAAGACTGTCTCCTTGTTGGGGAGCACGTCCCAGAGAGCTCTGCGCGCCGGGAGTGGGCGGAAGGAGGAGGAGAGCCCTCCCAGAGCCTATGGAACCGTCACAGCAGAACCCGGCTCACACCAGGCGCCATTACAAAAGCGAGAGATGGCCTCCGTTCAGATGCACGGTGTCCCCTCCTGTTAACGGGGGCTATAAAGCTTAATTATGAAACATGATCCTGAGGACATCAATGGCTTCCCGCGGTCGATGGCAGGATCACCAGCCCGAAGGCCTGTGGGGTGGATGTCAGAGGCGGCCATGACATCATCCTGGGCCAGGGGCTCCGGCCACCGGGCCAGGCGCTGTGTGTCTAAATGTGTAAAAGCTGTTGAATAGAATGCCTGCCCTGGCTGTTCTCCGCTTTAGCGCGGGCTGGTTCACATGGAGGCTCTGAACTTCTCAGAGTTTCCCACTTGGATGGGCAGCAAGTGGGGAGCCAGGCCAGCAACCGGCTTGCCTTTTCACCCCTGGCACCTTCCTAGGCCACCCTTCAAGCCCTTCCCCAACCTCCCTCGCTTCCACTCTCTAAAAATCAAGGAGTCTGGCCCCTGTGGCTCAGTGGTTGAATGTCGACCTATGAACCAGGAGGACACGGTTCAATTCCCAGTCATGGCACATGTCAGGGCTGCTGGCTCGATCCCCAGTGGGGGGCGGCAAGAGGCAGCTGATCAATGATTCTCTTTCATCATTGATGTTTCTATCTCTCTCTCCCTCTCTCTTCCTCTCTAAATCAAATATATATATATATATATATATATATATATATATATATATATATATTTCTTTAAAAACACATATACATATGTTTTTTATATATAAAATATATATAAATATATATAAAATATATATATATTTATATGTTTTTTTAAAGGTGCCTTTCTGCTTACCATAGTTATTTCCTGGTTTTTTGTTTGTTTGTTTGTTTGTTTACCTCTTCCCTAGATTGATGATATATTTAACGAAATCAAATTTAGTGAGTATGTGGATACTGGCGAGGTCATTGACAAAATCACCTTACCGGATTTCCTGAAAGTCTACCTTAACCACCGGCCACCTTTTGGTAACACCATGAGTTCCATCCAGGAGAGCTTCGACATTCTGGGCTATACCAACTCAGAAGGAAAGAAAGCTATTCGGAGAGAGGATTTCCTGAAACTGCTTCTAACTAAAGGTTAGAGCACACAAATCGGGTTATCTCACAAGGCCCTTGGGCCATTCCCCCTGGAGAGAGGCAAGCTGGGAAGACAGGACTCCCGCCCTCCACATCTTTAATGTGACAGGATGCGCTCAGTGACCCGCACAGCCAGCAAACGTGGGGTAGCGGGAAGGATGCTGACCTGAGGCCAGAAGAAGGCCAGTCATGCCCCCACTTCCTGGCACCTCGAGGCTCCCTGCCCCCACTTGTCAGGTGGGAATAAAAGTGCCAGCCATCAGTCCCACAGGGCGATGGTGAGGCGCAGTTGTGAAATAAATGGTTTTCCTTTTCCCCTGCTATTTTCCTCATTGTTATTATTTTTAAAATATATGGCCATGTCTATTGATTTTTTACAGAGAGGAAGAGAGAGGGATAGAGAGTTAGAAAGATTGATCAGCTGCCTCCTGCACACCCCCTACTGGGGATATGCCCGCAACCGAGGTACATGCCCTTGACCGGAATCAAACCTGGGACCCTTCAATCCGCAGGCTGACACTCTGTCCACTGAGCCAAACAGTTCTCGGCTTTCCTCATTATTTTATGTGAAGTCAAGTGAGCTCTCTCTGTGGGTGGGATTGTTTTATCTACTCAAACTCTGGCATCGAGGGTTGTGAGGGAGTTTGAAGTAAAGCCGAGGTCAGTCTTGATCAGAAAGTTGTCCGATGTCTCCATGTAAGCCCCAAAGAATGTCCCCTGTGCGAGTCCCATTTTTAATCCCATGTTAGGACATATATGTGACAGCAACATGGGGCTCTCCAGATATATTTTTAAAAGATTTTAAAATTGATTTTTAGAGATGGAGGGAGAGAGAAACATCAGTGTGAGAATGCAGCATGGATCCGTTGCCTCCTGCATGCCCGCTGCTAGGGATAGAGCCCAAAACCTGGGCACGTGCCTTGACTGGGAATGGAACTGGCAACTTCCGATGCTCACGGGGCCATGCCCAGCCAGCTGAGCCAGGGCTCCAGGAAAGGAAATCGTGCCTGGCCGTTGTGGCTCAGTGGTTGAGCGTCGACCGATGAACCAGGAGGCCATGGTTCGATTCTGGGTCAAGGCACATTCCCAGGTTGCGGGCTCAGTTCCCAGAGGGTGGGGGGTTGCGGGAAGCAGCCAATCAATGATTCTCTCTTGTCATTGATGTTTCTCTCTCTCCCTTCCTCTCTGAAATCAATATATATATATATATATTTTTTTTTTTTTCTTTCTTTCCGTTTTTAAAGAGAAGGAAATGGTGGAGTAATTCTCTTCCAGACCTCGCAGCGCTGATGCTAAGCTCTGACATCTGGCTTAGTCCCGAGAGCTGACCAGCCACCTTTCTCCTTCCCGCTGCCCAGGGGAGCACATGACGGAGGAGGAGCTGTCTGACTGCTTCGCCACGCTGCTGGGCATGAGCCCCGAGGGCTGGAACTCCGAGCCGGCCGCCTCTGCCCTCAAAGGTACGGGGCCGCTCTGTCCCGTCCTGTCGGGCAGGCCGCTGCGCTCACTCACCTGCCGTCGGCTGCAGTGCGTTTGTCTCTCCGGGCCTGTGCGAGCCGCCCTCCTCCACACCCTGCACACACTCAGCAGTGAGCCCGCCTTGAGCACACTGGAAGGGCCAGCGAGCGGTGGCCATGTCTAGGCCACGGTCCCGGTGTCTGTCCCTCCTCCATGCCTCTGGCCTGGCTGCTTCCTTTACACACCGCCCCCGTCTCCATCTTCTGCTCGGGGAGGGTGGGTGATGACGGGCCGCCGGTAGAGAATACAGGTCGGCAGCTGTTTCAGAAGAGGAGGGATTGTCTGGAGAGACTTGATTAGAAGCTGACTACAACTTGGTAGGTGGCACAAGCCCAACTTCAAGCTGCCAGACTTTAAAGGTTTTGTTGTTGTTGTTGTTGTTGTTGATCCTCACCTGAGGCTCTTTATCCATGGATTTTTGGGGAGAGAGTAGAAGGGAGAGGGAGAGTCAGAGAGAAACATTGATGTGGGAGAGAATCATCCATTGGTTGCTTCCCACATACACGCACCGCTATTCCGCCCCCCACTCGGGCCCCCCCCCCACGACTGTGCCGGGAATCAAGCCTGCAGCCTAGGTATTTGCCCTTGACCTGAATCAAACCGGGACCCTTCAGTCTGAGGACCAGTGCGCTATCCACTGAGCCTAGCTGGCTAGGGCCACTTTAAAGTTTTTAATGATGATCCCTCTCTCATTCCCTGAGGATTTCCTGCCTCCCTCCGGAGGGAGGGAAATGGCCCTGAAGTTTGGGTTGCAAAGTTAAGCTCTGGGAGAACCCATCCAGACCCTCTCCCGGGCCGGCCTATGTGCATGACTCCAGTGAAGGCCCGGACGCCGGGCTGGAGCCACCGCGGTGGTCAGAGCCACCCTGTGACTGCGCCCGGAGTCGGGAGCAACGATTTCTCACCGGCCTGCCTTCTCCCTCTTGATTTGTCTATACCCAATATCCTCCTATTTTATTTTATTAAATTGCTATTGATTTCAGAGAGGAAGGAAGAGGGAGAGAGAGATAGAAACATCAGTGATGAGAGAGAATGCTTCCTGCATGCCCCTTACTGGGGATGGAGCCCACAAACCAGGCAGGTCCCCTGACCGGGAATCAAACTGTGACCTCCTGGTTCATAGGTTGATGCTCAACCACTGAGCCACACTGGCTGGGCCATCCTGTCCCCAATTTCAAGTGAGACAGTGCTCCTGAACGTAGTTCTAAACCCCAGGATCTGATGGGTCACTGCCCACCTACACACTCACACACACACACACACACACACACACCCGTTCCTTGTGATCTTGAAGGGTCTCAGAATGTAACTTTCCCAATCGTTATGTATTTAGTGTTCCTAAGAGCTTCCAAACGGTGAAATCGGCAACACCACGTGGTTAAGGCTTTTCGGGGAGGTATGCAGAGATTCAGGACACCAGTGGCCCAAACCATAAAGGAAGGCTGTAACCAGTTCCCCCCACCCCAACCCTTCCTCCCCCCCGTCCTCGGGGGATTTTCAAGGAATCAAAGCCAGACCACAGCACAGAGCACCTCTCCCTCATGAGGATCGCTTCCTCGTATTTCTGGGGAAACGCTCTAGCATTAGAAACCCAACCCCTAGGAAAACATTCGCGTCCTCTCGTCCGTCAGGGCCGGAAGTGCGCTTGGAAGAGGAACTCCCAGAAGAGATCACGGCGGAAATATTCGTCACGGACATTCTGGGCCTGACCATCTCACCCAGTGGTTTGGGAGAAGGTGCTGGGGCCAGCAAGGAGGCAATGGGTGTCTGAAGGACCAAGGACTGTGTGTGGGGGGAGGGTTATTTTCCCTCCACGTGTCTCCCTACCCCCATGCCGGCCTTGAAAACATGTAGACATTAAAAGCAAGTTTCTGGTAAGCGGCGGGATTCCCCAAGTTGGAGGTTCCCCTGTTTCTGAAACAGCGAGGCAAGGCCGCCGGAGAGGGCTCGGAGGGGGAGCAGGCGGCGGTGCGGGCCCAGGAGCCTCAGCCTTCAGCAGGCCTTCCTAGGGGCACGGGTGGCCTGTTCCCTTCCCCGCGAATGCCCCCCGGGCCCCGGCCTACAAGCCCAATGTCAGCAAGGTCACCAGACGTCCGTTTTTAGCGGGACAGTCCCAATTTTTAACAATTTGTCCCGCGGCATTTTAAAAAAAATTTTAAAGATTTTTTGGGACTTTTTTAAAATGCTGCGAGACGCGGGACAAATTGTTAAAAATTGGGACGTCTGGACACCTTACCAATGTGGGTGGGACCGCCCCGCCTGCTGTCGGGGCCCCTGAGAGTCTCTTGCTCACGGTTTCTCGTCAGCAAAACACCCGAGCAGCTGTACGTGGCCGTTGGGAAGAGCACTACTGGCCATGCTTAACGGGGTGGCAACTGCCAGAGAGAGTGCAAAAGGCACCCTGTGTGGCTGCACCTGGACCCGCATCCACAGGCCGCCCTGCCCTCCCCCCCAGCAGACACCGGCCTGGCGGGTCTGCCGCCTCTCCCTCCATGGGCTTCACAACACGCAGAGGCAAGACACGGGCCGGCCCCCCGGCCCAGGGGGTGTTTAGGGAACACGCTACGTGTCTCTCAGTGTTTTCACCTTAAAAAGGAGGTGCCGTCACTGCGTACACAGGTGGAAGTTATGGTCTGACTTTAGAGTTTTGTCCTCAGTTTCCAGGTCTCCTTTTTCAGGCAAATGTGTGCGATGTTATCTCCCACACGTGGTCAGTCCAGCACACACACACCCCCAAACCAGGGCCTTCCCCGCTGCCCGGCGCCCACCTGGACCGCAGACGGGAACCGTCGCCCCGGACTAGCCTGTCACTGCTACCCTGGGACAGACAGCGTCTCATTGTGTCACCAGTGCTAGCTTACATTTTGTTCTTAAATAAAAATAAAAAAAACAAGCCCCGTGAATCAGTTTTGCAGCTGCTCAGGGCTTCAGAGATAATATTACCAAACAGCAGGCCGGTGAGAACGTTCTCAGGGACATTTTAGGCAACAGGAAACCCCAAATGACTTGTTCTCTTAAAACAACAGCTCAGAGTTGGATGTAGTCTAGACACCAGAAGCTTCTTTCTTTTTTAAAAAAAAATTTATTTCAGAGAGGAAGGGAGAGGGGGGGAGAGAGGGAGAGAGAAACATCCATGATGAGAGAGAATCATGGATCGGCTGCCTCCTGCACGCCCCCAACCTGGGATGGAGCCCGCAACCCGGCATGCGCCCTGACCGGGAATCGAACTGTGACCTCCTGACGCTCAACCACTGAGCCACATCAGACGCGCCAGAGGCCTCTCTCACCCGGCCCACGCACTCCGGTTTTGTTCTTAGCGACCGCACCTATTGGGGCAGTTGTCTTCAGCAGAACTGACCGAGGACCCCTTGGACCCCTTGGCTGGACCACTGTCACACCCAGGCTGAGCCCTGCCCCCTGCGCCGAGCCAGCTTCCCGTGTCTCAAGGTCAGCCTGCGGTCCTTGCCCACATGTCAAGGACAGCGAGATCCCTGCCGATGACTTCCCACTCTGCTCCCAGCCCAGCCCGGCCTGTGGGGCCCCATCTCACCTCCTGGGCTCCTTCCTGCAGGCCCTTTGGTTCTGCTGTCTCCCAACTCGCCTGACCAGGCAGAGAGCAGCCAGGAGGGCCTCTCCCCGTCCCCGGCCGGGCCGGGCCACACAGGTAGTGGGGAGGAAGGACATCCCATCCATCCACGGGCGCCCTCCCTCCAGGTGAGCCGAGAACTCGGACTCGCCAGCGCCGTGGGAGGCCGAGCAGCGACGCCAGGAAGGAAGGAGCTTGGAGACGGGACCGTTGTGCCCGTACATCAAGCCTTGGGGACAAAACACGGAGCACCAAAAGCCCGGTTTGAAAACAGGATACTATTTCAGATGGGGCCCCTGGCCACTGGCCGACACCCCGGCGTACCTCTCGCAGAGTTCAGGGGCACTAGAAGAGCAGTGGTCCTCCCCGCACCCCCACCAGCCGCCCCCACAAACCCCACTTCCCACCGCAGACTCCCAGCGCCCTCCCGTGCAGGCATCCACGCCGGGAAGGGTTTGCTGCTGCTCCCAGTACTCGCTCCTGGGCACCCTCGGGGGCAGCTCGTCTCTTAAACCTCCGTTTCCACCCGGAATGCCGGACTCCCGGGGCAGTGGTGAGGATGAAAGGAGATGGTGCAATGGAAGAGCTGGCTCCTGGCAGGAAGGAGGCAGCGCTTAAAATAGGACCGCAGCTATTACTGCTGCAGGCAGACAGAGCCTGGGACTTGGGGAGAACGAACCTCGCCTAATTTCGGAGTTTCTGACGACGGGCCCTCAATAGACACTGTGGGCGACCAAAGGAATGAACTGAAGCTCCGGGGCCTTCCAGGAGCCGACTTGGCTTTTCAACAGCAGCGCACGGTCCTCCCGGGCCCTGTCCATCGGGATCGGCAGGCGGTCCCTGCAGAGGGCGGGGAGCACACGCTGCCACGCGGTTGGCAGATGGGCTGTGTCTGGGCTCCTGAGCCAGGCCAGCGGCGAGGCAGCCTCGGGCAATTTGGGGAAGAAGGACCGCGGCCTCCTGTGGATCACACGGAGGTGTGGTCACGGATGTGTGGATTTCATGAGAATCCCCACGTAGTACAAAGCCATCTCCTCCTCTTGATTATTTCAACCATTTAAAGTTACAGAAACCACATGTCTAGCTCGTGGGCCCACGATTCGCTCCACAGGCTGGAGCCTGCTGTGCCTCGCAGGCCAGGGTCCCCTCCTCCCTCAGATGTTTACAAACACAGCGAATCTGTGCACAGTCCTCGGCCGGTTCTCTTCAAAACCGTCTCAGCAACAAGAAAAGCCCGGGAGACGGTCACCGACGGGAGGAGACGGAGGGGACACAGCCGTGAAACGCCAGTGGGAGCGGGATTTCTGGAGAAACTGGTGACTTGATGTGAAGTCTGCAGTGCATGGTGCAGCTCAGTTAGTTCCTTAGTTTCCATCACTGTGTCCTGGTTACGTAAGACGTGCGCCCATGGGGAGCTAGGTGACAGGCCCGTAGGGACTCCCTCCATTCTGCCTTTGCAGCTCTCCTGTAAATCTAAAAGTAGATCCAGATTTTAAAAGAGAAAAAGCAATCAGGCCCTGGCTAGGTAGAGCTGCAGTTGGTTAGAGCCGTGGTCGGCAAACTGCAGCTCGAGAGCCACATGCGGCTCTTTGGCCCCTTGAGTGTGGCTCTTCCACAAAGTACCACGGTTGGGGCGAGTCTATTTTGAAGAAGTGGCGTTAGAAGAAGTTTAAGTTGAAAAAATGTGGCTCTCAAAAGAAATTTCAGTCGTCATACTGCTGATATTTGGCTCTGTTAACCAGTAAGTTTGCCGACCACTGGGTTAGAGCATCGTCTGGATACACCAAGGTTATGGGTTTGATCCCCGGTCAGGGCACATAGAAAAATCCACCAGTGAATGCCTCGATACATGGAACAACAAATCAATGTTTCTCTCTCTGTCTCTCTAAAGTCAGTTTTAAAATATATATATTTTTTATTGATTTCAGAGAGGAAGGAAGAGGGAAAGAGAGAGAGAAACATCAATGATGAGAGAGAATCTTTGATCAGCTACTTCCTGCACACCCCCTACTGGGGATGGAGCCTACAACCCACGCATGTGCCCTGACCAGGAATCAAACCTTGATGCTCAACAGCTGAGCGACACTGGTCAGGGCAATAAATCAACTTTAAAAAGAACAAAATCACCGAAACCGATTTGGCTCAGCGGTAGAGCGTCGGTCTGCGGACTGAAAGGTCCCGGGTTCGATTCTGGTCAAGGGCATGTACGTTGGTTGCGGGCACATCCTCGGTAGGGGGTGTGTAAGAGGCAGCTGGTTGATGTTTCTCTCTCATCGACGTTTCTAGCTCTCTCTCTCCCTTCCTCTCTGTAAGAAATCAATAAAATATATTTTTAAAAAAAGAACAAAATCTGTGCCCTGGCCTGTTTGGCTCAGTGGATAGAGTGTCGGCCTGTAGACCAAGGGGTCTCAGGGTCAATTCCAGTCAAGGGCATGTACCATGGTTTCAGGCTCCTCCCCAGCCTGGGCCCTGGGCCCTGGTCGGGGCTCGGGCAGGAGGCAAAACCAATTGATGTGTTTCTCTCACATTGATCTTTCTCTCTCTCTTCCACTCTCCCTAAAAATCAATGGAAAAAACAAACAAAAAAACAACCCCGGGTGAGGATTAACAACAACAACAGAGAACGCAACCTGCACCGCCTTTCTGACGCAGTGACCCTGAATCATTTCCACGGTCTGCCCTACGTCCAGCAAATGCTCCTGGGGCCAGCCAGACCCCTGCTCCCGGGTCACCTCATTGCAGTGCAGGTGGGTCTTATTTTAAAGACCGTGTCCTTAAGCCACGGCCACCCCTGACACTGGTGTTTTCAGCCTGAGCGCGTTCTTCAGGGATCTGGCCGGCGTTTCCCTACAGGCGGCTGCTTCAAAACTGACGGTAATAGATAGATCTGGGCACTGTGGACCTGCAGCAAGTTGCCACCCGACGCATAGGTCCTGTAACACCCTCTGCTAGCTTAGCTTAAAGGAATATAAAAGAAAACAGCCCAGGGTGATGCAACGTTCTTTAGCAGCAGTGCAGTCCTGAGTGCAGGGACCGGCCTGAGGGGACAGTCACTAGAGGGGTCCCCGTACCCTTGGGCTTTGTTTTCCTGAGCTGCCGAGGGCCTCCTGCCTTTCTAGGTCACAGCGGGTGCTTACATGCCCAGCTGAGAGGCATCGGCCCAGGGCAGTCGCTGCCCACCGGGCTCCCCTGTCTCCATAGCTGGGAGTCCCTAACGCTGCACTGGGACCCTCAGCACCCAACTCGCCACGGAAAGGGGCTGGGCGGCGTGTCCTGTCCGCGCCCTCCTGTTCTCCTGCTGCGCTGATTGGAAGTCACAGGCCACAAAATGACACACATTATACAATTTCTTTTATGTGAAATGTCCAGAATAGGCAAATCCATAGAGACAGGAAGTAGATTTCTGGGGGCTGGGGCTGGGGGAGGGGAGAGGAAGACTGACTGCTAATGTAAGTGCTAACAGAGGGCTTCTTTTGGGGGATGACAAAAATATCCTAAAACTGATTGTGGTGATGGTTCACAACTCAATGAACATAGTAAAAACCACTTTAAAGGGTGTGCTTTATGGTATGTTAATTATATTTCAACAATGCTATTGTTTTAAAAATAGATGAGTGTTTTTACTGATTTCAGAGAGGATGGGAGAGGGAGAAAGAGAAACATCCATAATGACTGGCTGTCTCCTGCATGCCCCCTACTGGGGATTGAGTCCAAAACCCAGACTTGAGCTCTGACTGGCAATTGAACGCTCAACCACTGAGCCGCACTGGCCAGGCAACAATGCTATTATTTTTTAAAAATCAGCTGCTACACCATCCACCAACTGGCTAACCCCAGGACCTGATTCCCTGGTGAAGAGAGAAATAGGCCCCTTTAGCTTCTGTAGTGGGGGTGAGGGTGGGGACTTCAGATGCCTGGCAGCCAAAACGACTGCACCCATGGGAGTGAAGCAGCTGACGCTTGGCCTGAGAAGTCCCCAGGCCTGTTTGTGGACGGGTTCCCACTCTGCTCCGGGTCACTGGGTCATGACCCCACAGTCTGCGCTTAATCATTTATTGTTAGAGGAGTGTCTAGATCACCTTGTCTCACCTTTGAACACATTAGTCTTTCCAAACACTTTATGTGTCCTGTTTATTTTATTTTTATTTATTTTTGTTTTTGTTGTTAATCTTCACTCAAGGATATTTTTCCATTGATTTTAAAAATATATATATTTTATTGATTTTAGAGAGGAAGGGAGAGGGAGGGAGAGAGAGAGGGAAACACCAATGATGAGAGAGAAGTATTGATCGGCTGCCTCCTGCATTCCCCCTACTGGGGATTGAGCCGACAACCCAAGCATGTGCCCTTGGCCAGAATCAAACCTGGGACCCTTCAGACGCTCTATCCATTCAGCCATACCAGCTAGGGCTCCATTGATTTTTAGGGAGAGTGGAAGAGAGAGGGAAAGACAGAGAGAAGCATCGATGTGAGAGAAACACAGATTGGTTGCCTCCTGCAGGGGCTCTGACCAGGGCCCAGGTGGGGGCGGAGCCTGCAACCAAGGTACATGCCCTTGACTGGAACTGAACCCAGGATTTTTTGGTTGGCAGGCCGACACTCTGTCCACTGAGCCCAACTGGCCAGGGCTATCTCTTTATTTTCATATGACTTGAAGTGGCGCAACTTTCAGGCAAGCCAGTGGCTGTGTCGATGGATATGCGAGTTGCCAACCCACTAGTATCTGAGCTGTGAGTTTTTACAGTTGTGCTTCTAGGCAAGAAAAAATCTGAGCGGCAGATTTCAGTGTTTGGTTTCAATCAAAAAAACTCCCCCCACCCCACCCCAAGGCTCCCCAGTCTTGTTGAAACTCATCATAAGGTTCAGTATTTGGGGGAGACCTTCCCCACAATATTTTTGGATCTCATTAAGCTCTACCACTGGTAAATGTTCACCAACCCGCTCTGGGTGGGGCTGGGGAAAGGGTTCTGTCATGTATGTAGCTTTTGCCAATTTCCATAGTGTAAAATGCTCCGGCCATGCCCTTTTCAAACCATCCAGGGGAGGTCACTGAACGCAGAATTGGGAAGTGTAGGCCTATCAGCCAGCTGCTCTGCATCAGGGACCCAACCCTCAGGGGCAAACTGGCCTTGCTCAATTGCGTGACCTACATTGGCATCACCTGGGCGGCCCAGGGCCCCACACGTCCTGAACTTGCATGTCGGTCATCCTGGCCTAGCCATGTCCTTAGGAGCCTGGCGGAGCAGACGTAAAGCATCTCTCAAGGAAGGTGACTTCCCGCTGGGCCTCCAGTGATCCCTACAAATACATTTTAAAATCCAGTGTTCAGCATGTACATGGAGAACCAGGCGGATCACAAGGAAATAGGACACCATGAGCAAGAACCAGCAGAAACAGACCCTCAGACACTCCAAGTATTAGACTTATCAGACACAGACTATAAAACAACTGTGCTTTGATGAAAAATAGACGTCTTAGCATCCCCTTGAAGAAGGGGGACAGGAAACTATAAAAAGGGACATACGGGATTTATAAAGAACATTGAAGAAAGCTCTACCGTTTCATCAGAGATCAAAACCAAATTCCTTGAGGGGCCATCTGGTGATACAAACAAGTGAAGGGACGGAACACGTTGGTGACCTGGGGAGCTTTGAGGGGCACAGGGGCTCTTCGGCTGCAGCCGGCCGTGGCCATGTAGACTGGGGGCCCAGCGTGTACATCTGCTATTTCTAGAAAAAGCTCCACATTAAAAAAAAAAATTTTTTTCTTTTTATTTATTTATTGGGATGACATTGGTTAATCAAATTATATAGGTTTTGGGTGGATATTTGGATTGCTTTTTGTTGTAGTAAAATACAACATAACATTGACCGTTGTAAGAGGAAAGCATTTTATTTTATTATTTTTTTATATTTTAATGATTTTTCACAGAGAGGAAGAGAGAGGGATAGAGAGTCAGAAACATTGATGTGAGAGGATCATTAATCAGCTGCCTCTTGCACATCCCCTACTGGGGATGTGCCCGCAACCAAGGTACATGCCCTTGACTGGACTCGAACCTGGGACCTTTCAGTCCGCAGACTGCCGCTCTATCCACAGAGCCAAACCAGTTTCGGCAGAGGGAAGCATTTTACAGTTCAGTGACATCAGGTACATGCACAATGTGTGCAGCCACCTCCCCTGGAACTCTTTCACCCAGAACTTTCTCGTCACCCCCAAAGGAAAGAAACCCCGTGTCCACCGGAAGTCACTCCCCATTCCCATGGCCCCCGGCAACCACCCATCTGCGTTCTGTCTCCGTGGCTTTGTCTAGTGGGCATGTCTCATGTGAGTGGAAGCAGGCAATGTTTGTCCTTGTGTGTCTGGCTTCTTTCACTTAGCATGTCTCCAAGTTCATTCATGTTGTGGCATGTGCCAGTCCTTCACGCCTTTTTCAGTGGCTGAATAGATATATGCATCAATCAATTGGTACTTGGATTTCTGATATGCTATCATATATATTCATATATAAATATATATCAGTTATATATATATTTATATATATATATCAGTTCTGTGTGGCCCTCAGCACATACCTGCTGGCATGACCTCTGCCTGTGAGGGCAGGGCCGACAAGATGAGACCTCTGCATTAGGACTTGCTGCTACGATTGTCCTCAGAACGAATCTCTGAGGCGGGTGATCTATTCCTTTTTCACATTAGGAACTCGAGGTTCAGAATGGCAGAAAGACATGCCTAGAAAGAGGCCTGCACTGCAGTCCCCCGCTCCATCATCACCCGTAGCTCATCTACCCCACATCAAACCCTCAGGGCAAACTGATGGGCTCCAGAGTGAGTGGGAGCCCAAGATCCAACGCATGGCCATGACCTTGAGCTTCCCGGTGACTTAGTTTCCCCGGGTGTAAACATGGCTGGTGCTGGAACAGTTTATCTCCAAGACCCCGAGCTTGTGGACAGGGTCACTCCCACTTTCCCCAGCATCCATCGGGGCGTGCTTGAGCTCTGGTCAAATCGGTTTCGCGGGCACCTGAACAAAAAGATGTGGCACCTGGGTTGTCCTGGTAACTGCGGATTCCTCCCCAGAACTACCCTGGGGCAGGATTGGGGGGGGGAGACACAGCCTCCAGCGCCTTCCCCAATGCTGATCGCCGTTGAACTTTCCCTGCTGGAAGCCGTTTGACGAGCAGGGGCGAGCGTCTGCCCCGCCCCGGGCACCTTTCCTCTGACCCCGGCTTTCCAAAAGGACGCAGGAAAGGGAAGCGACGTCCTGGCGCGCGTGTTTACGCGGGGCAGCGCGTCCCTCCACTCTCTCCAGCAGCACCTCGCGGACTCCCCGATCCCGCCGCCTGCCACTCCGACCGCCGCCTGCAACTCCCGCCAAGTCCGGGGCCCCGCGGGCAACTTGCGTGGCTGCACCCGCCGCCGCCGCCGCCAACCCGCACACCCCGGGCGGCGGACGGGCCGCCAGGCTGGCTCCCAAGGAACGCGCCCCCTCCGCGGCCGGCCCGCCCTCCCCCGGGGAGCCCGCGGCCTCGGGGTGAGTGTCCGCGCCCCCGCCCCGGTCGGGTCTCCGGGCGCCCCTCGCCGCCTCCCCGGGGCCGGTGGGGGACGGGCGGCGGGCGGCCCGGAGGCCGCGCTGCTGGCGGCCGCGCCGCTCCCCCTGCTCCGAGCAGCTGCCGCCCGGCGCTTGCGCACTGGGCCCGGGCGCGCGGGGGCCCGGCTTTGTGTGTGTGTGTGTGTGTCCGAGTGTGTGTGTATCTGTGTGTGTGCATGGGAGTGTGTGTGAGAGAGAGAGTGCACATGTGAGTGTGAGAGTGTGAGTGTGAGAGAGTGTGTGTGTGTGAGTCTGTGTGTGTGAGCGGCGGGCGGGCGGGCGGAGTGTGGCCGCCGCGGGGCGCGAGCAGGACGGGCGGCGCGCTCGCAGCCTCCCTCTCCTCTCTCCCCGCCAGAACCATGTCGGGCAGGTCCGTCCGAGCCGAGACCAGGAGTCGGGCCAAAGATGATATCAAGAGGGTCATGGCGGCTATCGAGAAAGTGCGCAAATGGTAAGCGGAGGCGCCGCTCGGCGCCGCGGCCGCGCGACCCCAGCCCACATCCCCGGAGCCGGCGGCGCAGCGCCCCGGGCCCGGAGGGAGGGAGAGGGCGGGCGGCGGGCGGCGCGCGGGCCGGTCACCTGCCCGCGGGGCCGCGGCCGTGCCCAGGTGCGCGCGCGCTTTCGCCCACCTGGCGCGGCGGCGGCGGCGGCCCGAGGCGGGGGCTCCCGGGCCGGGCCGGGCGGCCGCGCTGCGGGCAGTGCCCCCGCCGCCGCGGCGCTCGGCTCCCGGAGGAGAGTGCGGGGCCGGCCCCAGAAGCCATTTCGCTTCGTGCGAGTCACATGAAAGCGGCTTCCCGCGCGCCGGGCCGCGGTGCCGGCGGCGGCGGGGAGAGCGCCAGCTCCATTGTGCGGCGCCGAGCGGGCCGCCGCCGCCTCCTCCCCGCGCGCCCCGGGCGGCGCGGCGCCGGCCCCGCGCCCCTGCCCGCGCCGGCGCCCCCGCCCCCGCTCCCTCTCCGGCTCGCCCGCCGCCCGCTCCCGCCTCCCGGCCCGGCGCCCCGGAGTCTGCGGAGTTTGCGGAGCGCGAGCCGTTTAAATTTAGCGCTTCGGGCGGCCCGGGGCGAGGGCTCCTGGCGGGGAAGCAAGATGGGGGCGAGCGCGGGGAGGGGCGCCGCAGGCCCGGAGCGCCAGGCGCCCGACCCCCTCTCCGCGCGGCGCCCGGGCGCCGGCCTCGGGCGAGCCAATGTTATTTTTTTATTATTATTGTTATTATTTTTATCAGAAGCCGGTCCTGGGCCGCGGCTGCCTCTCCCAAACCAGCAGCTCGTGTTTGTTGTGCGGAGGAGCCGTTGTTTTGTTCTCTGAGCTGGGACCGGGGTGGGGGGGATCGGGGCTGGCCGCGCGTCTCCGCAGCCCGCGGGAGGGGGCCGGCGTGGCCCGGTCGGAATGACCGGGACTGGACATCGGGGGGCGAGGGGGTGGTGGTGTCTGGCTCGGGATCGGCCCTCGGGCCGGGCCCGAGGCGCCCGAGATCACCAGGGCGAGGCGGACTTGTTGAAAACTCCCAGCTCCCGGATTTCAACTTCATTATTATTATTATTTTTTTTTTCTTTCCCACGGCTTCACCGGGGTCAGGGAGGTGGAGGAGCCGATGCGCTCACGTGCCGGCACCGGCGGGCTGGTGCGGAGGGGGGACCCTTTATTGAAAGCGTTGAGCATCGGTCGCCCCACCCCCACCCCCTCCCCCACCCTCCCACCCCCTCCGCGGCTCTGTTTGCCTTTGGGGGTGTCCTTTCTCCGGGAACGCGCCTCGGTCTCTAAGCGCCACAGGGGGCCGAGCATCCAGTCTAGCCGGGTCGCGAGTTCGCTGTCCTTCCCGAGGCAACCCCGTCAGAAAGAGGGAAATCAATAAGCCCACGTGCTCGCCGCCGCCTCCCGTGGAGAGGGCCGCCTGCAGATGGCCGGATGCCCGGCGCAGGGCTGGGCTTGGCTCCGGCGGGACAAAGAATTTTCAGGACCGTGAGAAGGGGAGGCTTTCCAAAGTTGAGATCCAAGTCCTGCGAGCCGTGGGAGCTCCCCCAGTGCGCACAGGGCACCCCGAGGCCCGCTGGAGCCATTTAGAAATGGCAGGAACAGCTGCAGGCCAACACCACACACACACACACACACACACACACACACACACACACACACGAAAGCTAGCCCACCAGCCCCTTCTCCTGCGGGATTCCCAGAGGGGAGGCTGGGGTTGTGTCCTTAGGGCCTGGAGCTGAGCAAGGGGCTGGGGGCAAGGTACCCCACAGCCCCAGGTTCCCAGCGGGGCACAGGCCCTGCACCCAGACAGCGGCTCCTGCAGGGCCCGCCTGCCAGCTGCTCCGCAGGGAGGGCAGATGGAAGGATGGGGCTTTCCGCCCTGCTGGCCCCGCTGCGGGCCAGGCTTGTGTTGGAGGGAGGAGGGTAGGACGGGGGGGAGGGGGGGGGACTGGTCTCCTCCCTCCTTTTGGGAAACAACTTGTCATGAAGACCTCAGGCTTTGGGATCCCGTTCACTTCCTGTGTGTGACTGTGGACAAGCCAGGTACCTTCTCTAACCACTGCCCCAGGGGGTCCTGTGCTCCCACCCCCAAAATAAGATCATGCTCCACCACACTCATCCCTGCATACAGAAGCCACCATTAAATGTTGTCTTGACGTTAAGGTGGGCTCCACAGAAACTTACATTTTGCTGATTTTTTTCTTTTTCTTTTTCCCCTGCCCCTTCTAAGCAAAAACCAACAAACAAACCTACGTTGCATTGTTTCTTGGGTTTCCCCTGCCTGGAGAAGCCAAATCGCCCCTTCACTCTGCCTTTAGGACGGGCCCTCCCGTCCATCTGCAGACTTTGGGTTGTTTATTAACCGTGTGGCCACCAACCGTGCAGTCCCTGCTGGCTGGGGGGCCGGGTTGCCAGATTTAGCAAATAAATTCATGCACACTGAGTTAAATTTGAATTTCATGTAAACAACGAAACGATTTTTAAAGGCATTTCTCTACATCGTAAGTATGTCCTGGGCACTCTCTGGGACATACTTAATACTAAGACAATTATTCGTTGTTTATCTGAAATTCAGATTCGGTTCAGCAGTCTGTATTTTGCCCAGAGATAAAGGTGGCATCTGGCATGCCATTCGGCGGGGAAGCCTAGGGTGGTGTTTGTCCCCAGCCCCAGGGACCCCACGCCCGCCCCTCTGCCAGCCCTGCCCTGCCCCTGCCCCCGCCCCCAGAGAAGCCAGCCACCAGCAGTGACCAGCGTGCCTGGAGCTGCTGACCCTTGCCTTTCTGTCTGGTGCCCCAGCAGGGCGGGCAGGCAGCGTGCGAGGCAGCCCGAGATGGCCGAGGGAAGGACAATGTGGTGGGACCCTTTTCCGGGAACCAGGCCAGGTTAGGGGGCCTGGGGTGAGTGGATGTTGGGCAGGAGGCAAAGGCTTGAGCTGAGAGGTATAGGCTTAGGCTGGGGACCCCCCTCCCCCGGGCCTTTGGTGTGAAGGGTCCCTCAGAGCCTTGTGGGGGACGGAGACAGGCCTGTTCCCCAGGATTTCCCTCTGTCCCTGGGGGAGGGGCAGGTTTGTGCCTAGGGCCTCGCCTCGGAACCCCGAGGGTGCCCTCCGGCCAGACAGGGCAGGGCAGGTGAGTCTCGGCCTCGTTTGGACAAGGGCAGCCGCCAGCCAGGCCTCCTGGGGCATCGAGCGCCAGCCCTGGGAAACGAATGCAGAGTGAGGGATTCAGAGCTCTCGCGGAGGGAGCCAGGTGACCCCGCGATAGTCCTGCCCTGGGACCTGGGCCAGGGAGAACACTGGCCATTGATTGGCCTTGGCCTGGGGATTCCGGATGGGCCCCTGTAGTTTATGTAGGAGCCTATGCTGAGGAGGGGCTGTGTCTGTAGCTGGGACCGCACTGAGCCTTTCCGCCCAGGAGCCTGAGTCTGATGTGAAGACGGATCCGTAAGCATGGCTGGTTCCGGGAGCCATCAAGGCAGGAGGGCTCAGTGCGCAAGGCTGGGGTGAGCCCGGTGTCTACAGGTGGGGAGAGCTGGGGGGTCTGAGGGAGCCTCGGACCCTGGGGAGGGGGTCTGTAGGCCCCTCGTGATCAGACCGTTTTTGAGAGTAGCCAGGAGTCTGGATTTTTATGTTGTCTGAGTTTTTTCCCCCCTTTTTTGTCAAGTTTGGCAAACTGGTACAGTTTTTAAAAATTATGTTTTATTGATTTTTTTAGAGAAGAAGGAAGAGGGAGAGAGAGAAACATCAACGATGAGAGAGAATCATCCATCGGCTGCCTTCTGCACACCCCTCACTGGGGACCGAGCCCGCAACTCAGGCACGTGTCCCTGGCCGGAATCGAACCCGGGACCCTTCTGTCCACAGGCCTACGCTCTATCCACTGAGCCAAACCGGTTTTGGCTGATTCAGATTTTTAAAAGTACCGTGCAGGCCAGACAAAAACGGCCTGTTGGCCACTTATTTGTCACCTGAGGTAGTAACTACAGCTTAGCGTACCCCCAACCCATCGCCCCGGGGCCGTGTGCGGGCCGTGTGGCCAGGGCGATGGGTTGGGGGTGGTAGTGGGCGCTCTGCTGCTCCTCTGAGCCCATGTGGTCTGTGTCCCAAGGCGCTGTCCAGCCACCCGCTGGATGAGACCCCCCGAGCTCACGGGACATGCCTGTGAAATCCCTTCTCGTCCGTCATCCCTGGTGCTCGCCCAGTGACTTACCCCTGAGCTCCGGGCCCCATCTCTGCCCGGCCGGCCGCTGGCCGAACCCCGGCCTGAGATCCGGCTTGGCCTCCCTGCCCTGTGTCCCTCAGCCCCTCAGTGTCCTCACCTGGAAGCGCACCCGCAGCACAGGGACCTGGGGACTCGGGCCAAGGGCTGCCGCTGGGTCATCGGACAGCCTGGTTGTGCTGAGCTCACAACCTGAAGGGCCTGTAACCTCCCGGAGAGGCACCTGCAATCGCAAAGATTCGCCTTCACTGTCCTGTGGCCGGCACACCCAGACCTGGCCCAGGGTGGCCGTGGCTGTTAGCTGGCTTCTCCCGGGGCCAGATGGGAAAGGTGTCTTGCGTATTACAAGTCAATTCCCTTAAAGTGATTTGAGAGAGGAAGGGAGAGGGAGAGGGAGAGAGAGAGAGAGAGAAACATCAGTGATGAGAATCACTGATCAGCTGGCTCTTACACGCCCCCTACTGGGAATGGAGCCTGTAACCCCAGGATGCGCCCTGACTGGGAATCAAACCATGACCTCTTGGTTCATAGGTCGATGCTCAACCACTGAACCACACCGGCTGTCTGTTTTTTTTTGTTATTGTTTTTAACATAAATTGTGGATTTGCTGACCTACTGGGGCCCAGGCCCAGGCCCAGCAGCCAGTGGAGGCCTTGTGAGTGCCGAGGGCCTTTGGTCCCTTGCACAGGGACCAGCAGTTGGCACTTCTGTGTTCTGTGGAGTGGATTCCTCATTTTCCCGGGAGACGAGAGCAGAAGGTCGCTCCGGGGTCACAGCCTGTGTCCAGTCCCTGTCCCTCCACGGACTGTGAACTGGTATCACCGCTCCCCGTCGGTAACGTGGGGTGACAGTGGCCCCCCTTTCCTAGGCCTGTGGGCGATGTCGGGGGGAGAGAGCGTGTAAATAAGACGTTGGCACGGGGCCTGGGCACACAATGGCTATTGTGGCTGCTGCTTTGTCACTGGGACTGCTTCTTGGAACGCCCCGTCCCTTCCTGGCACCTTCTGACTGTTCAGGACGGAGTGGGGGAAGGCGCGGACGGAGGACGGTCCGTCCTGCCTGCGGGGGGAGGAGGCGGCGGCGGCGGCTTAGACACCTGCCTGACTCCTCCTTTCAGGGCGAAAGGGGCCGGGGTGGGGGCGGAGAGTGCTCCGAACAGCAGTGAGGCCCGGAGGTTCCAGTACGGGCTGGGGGGAAATCCCACTTCTCTGTCCGTCACAGCGGGGAGGTGATGGCTCTGGCCACACAAGGTTGTGGGAAGAGCAGAGCAAGTGTGTCCAGTGCTTCGCACAGAAAACGTACCAGGAAGGTCGCTAGTGCAATGACAAAACGGCCCCTCGCTCCCCCCGGAGGGAACGCACGGGTCCCAGCCGCACAGTGTGAGGGTGGCGGTGTCCGTGGTTTGGGGGAGGGGGCTCTGAGTGTGGCCGGGCACCCAGAAGCCCCTGTGAGGAAGGCGCCGCCTGGTGGCTGTGACGGGTCCCACCAGCCCACGTGGAGGGGAAGACCCAGGCTGGGGTGATCTGGGCCGGGAGGTGGGCGAGGGTGGCAGGCGGCCCATGGACAGAGGGGCCCACCCACACAATGCGGGGCCTGGTCCCTGGCATTGCTAGGGCTTCTGGCAATGGCACCCCCTGCTCCAGGTGTGTGTGTGGCCCCGCCTCCCACGTCTCCCATGGACCCTGGAGCCAGAACGGCCTGGGTTCGAATCCCAGCTCTCCCTCGGGCGGATCACCCTTGGGGTTTGGGGCAGTTGGTGATACGTACGACCTGGCTTATGGACTGCGGGGGGGGGGGGGGGGCGGCGCAGGTGAGGACGGGAGTTCAGGGCGGACCAATCATCGGGAGAATGATGAGCTTGGAGCAGAGTGCTGGGGAGAGGAGGGGGGTTGTTGTTATCCTTCGTGAAGACAGCGACCCCTCCTCCTCCTGTGGCTTTCTCTTCGCCCATAAGCCTGCCTCTGGCAGCGGGGGGCCCTGGACACTGTCCCCCAGGAGTTTAGGAAGCGGCTGGGCAGCTGTGCAGACGGGGCCCTTCGGAAACAAGACCCCGAAGCACCTGCCAGGCTCAGGACTGAGCCGCGGGAGGCTCGGGGCATCTCTCCCACCGGCTGCACCCACAGTCCAGGCCCGGCTTCCCTGTTAAACCCTCGGTATCGGCGCTCGGGGCCTGCCCCTGGGGGTTTGCCCCTGCTCCCTGCCCCCTCTGCTGCTCCAGAGGGCAGAGCGAGGGGTGATGAGTCCAGCCTCTGCTCCCCCCCCCCCACAGCCAGCCTCAGACCCCGCCCCCGGAGGAAACAGCTGGCTGCCCAGCGGGGCTTGGCTGGCCGGGTGTGCTGGCTCTGGGGGGTGAGAGCTGCAGGAACCTGGGGCCCAGACCCCCTCGTCCGGGGGCGGCGTCCTAATGGCAGCTCCTCTCCCGCCCCCAGTCTCACCAAGCACTTCCTTCCGGGCGTCCAAGGACTCGAACACACAGGGTCTTAGGCAGCCCTCACGCAGCCTGGGGAGACTGACAGCCAGGTCTCGCAGGTGGAGACACTGAGGCTCAGAAGGGGGGAAGAGAGATGGGCTACACACTGCATCTGTTCGACCGAGGGCGTGCGGCCAGGGCCCCCATGGGGAGAGCAGGGCCCGGCCCCAGAACCCCTGGTAACAGGCTCCTCCTCCTCTTCCTCTTCCTCCTCCTCCTCCTCCTCCTCCTCCTCCTCCCCTTCCCCCTCCACAGGGAGAAGAAGTGGGTGACGGTGGGTGACACGTCCCTGCGAATCTACAAGTGGGTCCCCGTGACGGAGCCGAAGGTTGACGATGTGAGTATGAGGGCCCGTCCCCAGGAATACCCCCCCTCCCCCCCGCCTGTCACCGCAGGCCGGGAGCCCCACGGTTTGTGAGCGGTGACACACCTTGGGATTTGGGGCTGCCAGAGGGGCACCCACAGACAGGCAGGCGCTCCCCGTCATCGCAGCACCGCTCCCAAGCACCCGACGCCGTGCGGGGTGTTCCCGTGTCTACGTCTCATCCGGAGTGATCTCTGCCTTCTCTGTACAAGTGAGGCCACGGGCTCAGAGAGGGGGAGCTGTTTCCCCAGAGCCGCACAGCAGGGGTCACGTGTGTCCTGGCTCACGCGCGCTCTCTCCACGCGTGGAGAACCTTTTGTTCTCACCCCAGAGTTTTGCACAGGGAAGCCGGGGTGGCTTCTAGACTGTGACCACTAGGGGGAGCCCCTGCGGCTGTGCTTGGTTTGAGGGAGGGAGGGATAGATGACAACCCCTCGGAGGCTCTGAGACCAGTGGCTCCCAAAGGCCCCAGGTCAAAACCCTGCACGGTCCCGCCCCCAGGCCTTTGGTGGGCCGTTCCTCCTGCCGGGAGGGCCTTTCTCTCCTTGTGATTGGTCCCTCCGCAGGAGGATGGTCCACACGGAGCCGGCCGCACAGTGTCATTGGCTCCCGGAGGTGCCAGGATCGGGATGGGCAGGCGCAGAGGGGGCCAGAATGGCTGGTTGGAAGCTGCTGTCTTTGGTTCCCGGCCTGAGTCTCCTGGGGAGAGGGGCGCTGAGCTGAGACTACGGGTGTTTGTCTGTGCTGGTTCTGTCTGGTCCGGGTTCGTGGGGCCTCCAGAGCTGCCTTCCCCAGCGGCCCCAGACCGAGGCTCCGGAGGGAGACCCGGTGTGACAGGCTCCTCGGAGGCCGCCTGGCTCTGCCGGGGCCGTCTGTGCCTTGCACACCGTCGGGTGTTGTATCAGCACCATTGCATTTGGGAAGACGTGGTCCCTGCTCTCCAGGAATGTGGAATCTCGCCGGGGAGATAATTATAGAACAGCACGGAGCAGGCACCAGGGACGTGCCACATGGATCGCGATCCAGGAGAAGCCACCACGTGCGGGCTGTCGGGGGGGACAGGGCGGCTCCAGTGGGGCAAAGAGCACTCCTGACGAGCCCGGGATGTTGGACAGGGGCCCCCCTCGCTGGGCCTCAGGTCCCTGTTTCCTGCCACGAAGCAGTAATGCCCAGGTCCTAGGGTATCTGTATGTCTTTTTTTATTTTTTTAAAATATATTTTATTGACTTTTCACAGAGCGGAAGGGAGAGGAATAGAGAGTTAGAAACATCGGTGAGAGAGAAACATCGATTCAGCTGCCTCTTGCACACCCCCTCCTGGAGATGTGCCTGCAACCAAGGTACATGCCCTTGACCGGAATCGAACCTGGGACCCTTGAGTCTGCAGGCCAACGCTCTATCCACCGAGCCAAACCGGTCAGGGCTGTATATCTTTTTAAAAGATCCTTACTCGAGGTTATGTGTGGGTGTTTTTTTTTCTTTCATTTTTTTGTTTGTTTGTTTTTTTTTTATAAAAAGAGGAAGGGAGGGAGAGAGAAACATCAATTTGTTGCCTCCTGTACGCACCCCAAGTGGGAATCGAACTCACAACCTCAGTATGTGCCCTGACCGGGAATCGAGCCTCCAGCCAGCGGAGCTCCCTGGCCGGGGCCTTCCTGTGTGTCTTTTGTAAACGGTTTGCCTTCCCTGCGCTCGGTCCCACCCGCTCAGCTCACTTCCTGGGCGGCTGCCAGGCTGCCCGCAGACGCGTCCGTTTGTCCTTTCCTTCGCCATCAGCGGCCGCGGTCCGCCCCGCGCCTTTTGGAGGTGCCGACACGTGTTCCACGTTGGCATTCTCGGGGATCGTGTCCCAGTCTTAAACACAGAGCCGCCCGACTCTGTAATCGTCGCATCGCGTTACAGCAAACAAACGCACCGTGACTTACTTAATGAGCCTCTTCCCGATGGACGCAGGGCGCTTCTGACCCTGTTCTCTTCCGGGTTTAAAAGTTGGACCCTCCCCCTGCCCTCCTGCCCTCGTCTCCCTCTCGGGTGCCCGGGAGGCTGCCCTGGGGCCCGGCCGTCGTGGGAGTGTGTGAATCCCGTGTTTTCCCAGGGCTCGCCTGGCGTCCCTGTACCTGCCCTGGGGGGGGCACCCACGGCCTCGCCCCCAGAGGCCCCCCCTAAAGGAGGAGGGGACCCCGCCAGCCAGGGTGTGTGCGTGCCCCACTAGCACTGGGGCTTTATCCCAGAAGCCTCCCGCTGCTGGGCCCCGAGAGGACGTGTTCAGTGCGGGCCGAGGAGCACCCTCCCGGGCCCCGGGGGCTGGGGAGGAGGCGTGCACAGCACCGTCTCGCTCCTGCCCGCACACATGCGGCCCGGTGACTCCGTGCCCGCTCCATTTCCTCCTCCAGAAAAACAAGAGCAAGAAGAAGGGCAAAGACGAGAAGTGCGGCTCGGAGGTGACCACGCCAGAGAACAGCTCCTCCCCTGGGATGATGGACATGCACGGTGAGCTCCCTGGCCGGCCTGAGCTGTACTCTCTTCCACCAGGTGTCCCCCCCACCAGGCCCCCTCCCGCCGGCCTCTCCCGCCAGGCCCCCGTCCGCCAGGCCCCCATCCGCCAGGCCCCCGCCCGCCAGGCCCCCACCTGCCAGGCCCCCGTCCGCCAGGCCCCCGTCCGCCAGGCCCCCGCCCGCCAGGCCCCCACCTGCCAGGCCCCCGTCCGCCAGGCCCCCGTCCGCCAGGCCCCCCGTCCGCCAGGCCCCCCGTCCGCCAGGCCCCCCGTCCGCCAGGCCCCGGGCCCGAGCTGCTCGGCCGTATTTTGTTTCCCCAGCAGGTTCGTTCACATTCCAGGCCGAGGGGCAGGAGGGCTGGGCAGGCCTGGGCCTCGGTGCCAAGGAAGAGGCTCCGAGCCCGGCGAGCCAGGAAACATAAACCAGGCCCCCCCCCCTCACCCAGGGACAGAGGCCTCACAGGAGGTGTCCTTTTTCCCTCCGAGGCCTGACTCGCTACGCGGATGGCTGAGTTGTGTTTCCTGTTTCGCTTTGGCCGCCGGGAAGCTCCAACCTGGGTTTCTGGCTTCACGTAAACCCTCACCGACCGCCTCCCTTCCCGTGTTCTCTTACTTCGTGCTTAGTGGATAGACCTCTTTTTTCTTTCTCTCCTACAATAATCTTCCCTGGTCCTTCTCCCCCTGCGTGCTATCGGCCAGCAGAGCCTGGCCGGCCATCCTGTGGGATACCCCGCTTTGTGGGGTAACTTCTCTCTCCCTTTTGACCAAGCGGGGGTCGGTGAGAGGCTCGATCCGGCAGCGCCGCCCCAGGCACTGCGCTTCGGCCTCTGTGTGACTTCCGAGCCAAGCACCCACGATGTCTGTTTCCTCACCCGGAACCAGGCCTCAGATGCCCCCCGAGACTTAAACTGTGCCAGGCTTCCGTCTGGGGCCGGCTGCCTCCAGACACCGGGCTCTCGGGAGCCCGTGGGGCGGGGCCCTGGGTGTGCCGGCTCGGAGGTTCCGGAGGGGCGAGCGTCCCCTCTCCTGGGCAGCGTCCCGCGGGCCGTGGGGCATGGGGCGGCTGAGCCCCCAGCAGCGCCTCTGTCCCCCCCCAGATGACAACAGCAACCAGAGCTCCATCGCAGACGCCTCCCCCATCAAGCAGGAGAACAGCAGCAACTCCAGCCCTGCGCCCGAGCCCGCCCCCTCCGTGCCCTGCGAGGGCAGCAGCACCAAGGCCGAGGAGGCCCCGGCCGAGGGCAAGGAGCCCCCCGGGGCCGAAGGTACGTGCCGTCCAGACCGTCCAGCCTCTGTCCAGGCAGGCGACGGCAGGTCGTCTTTTTCCCCCTCTTAAATATGTTTTTATTGATTTCAGAGGGGAAGGGACAGGGAGAGAGAGAGAGGGAAACATCGACGATAGGAGAGAATCATGGATTGGCTGCCTCCTGCACGCCCCCCACCGGGGATCAAGCCTGCAACCCAGGTGTGTGCCCTTGACCAGAATCGAACCCGGCACCCTTCAGGCAGCAGGCCGATGCTCTGGCCCCTGAGCCAGACCAGCCAGGGTGATGCCTGGGGCTCCTATTCTTAGGGGGAGGGGAGGTGCAATTTAAAAATCATACAATCTAGCTGAATCTGGCTTGGCTCAGTGGATAGAGCGTCGGCCTGCGGACTGAAGGGTCCCGGGTTTGTTTCCGGTCAAGGGCACATACCTTGGTTGCGGGCACATCCCCAGAGGGGGGTGTGCAAGAGGCAGCTGATCCATGTTTCTCATCGATGTTTCTAACTCTCTATCCCTCTCCCTTCCTCCCTGTTTAAAATCAATAAAATATATTTTAAGAAATAAAAATAAATAAATAAAAATCACACAGTCTAGCATTTGGAAAGCACGTGTTCTGGGGAACGCTGAAGTAAGAAAGGGGGTATGGAGTCTTGCCCCTTTTGGGGATACTGTGGTTTTGAATAGGTGGCCCAGGGAAGCCTCCGCCAGCCAATGAGGCTCAGATGAGGCGAGGGAGGAGGCCGCCTGGGATAGCGGGGAGGCCCTGCGGGCAGAGGGAGCCCGTGCACAGGTCCTGAGGCAGGAGTGTGCTCAGTGTGGCTGGAGGGAGCGGGCAGGGCGAGGGGCTCCGACGCAGAGACCCCAGAGGAGGCGGGGCCGGGAGAGTGCAGCTCAGGGGGCCACTTGGAAGACCCTGACTTTGATGCTGAGAGCGCAGGAGCCGTGGGGGCTCACACCCTGAGGTGTGAAGGATTGCTTTGGCTTCGGTTCTGTGAACGTCCGGGCGGGGCTGCTGCTTCGTCCAGGTGAGAGAGGAGGCGTTAAATGGTCTGACTGTGCAGGGCGTGTGTGTGTGTGTGTGTGTGTGTGTGTGTGCGTGTGCGTGCGTGCGTGTGCGCGCGTGTGTGTGTGTTTACAGGAGTATATGTTTGTTCGTGTTGAGGTCTCTGGACCCCCTTTATTTTTTATTTTTTAAAGTATATTTTATTGATTTTTTTTTACAGAGAGGAAGAGAGGGGGGATAGAAAGTTAGAAACTTCGATGAGAGAGAATCATCAATCAGCTGCCTCTTGAACACCCCCTACTGGGGATGTGCCTGCAACTAAGGTACATGCCCTTGACTGGAATCAAACTTGGGACCTTTTAGTCCGCAGACCGACGCTCTATCCACTGAGCCAAACTCGTTTTGGCTATTTTTTACTTTTAGTTTTATTTTTTTTACTGTTTTTCTTTTTTCATTTTTTTTTTTTATTAAGGTGTTATATGTGTACTTATCTTACCATCCCCCCCCCTCCCCACTCCCATACCTTCCCTCACCCCTCAGAGTTCTGCATCCATTGGTTATGCTTATGTGCATGCACACAAGTCCTTTGGTTGATCTCTTATCTGCTCCACCTCTCCCTAACCTTCCCGCTGTCATTTGACAGTCTGTTGGATGCTTTACTGTCTCTGTATCTTATCTTTTTGTTCATCCGTTTATAATGCTCTTTATTACCCGTGAATGAGTGAGATCACGTGGTGTTTTTCTTTCATTGACTGGCTTGGTTCACTCAGCATAACGTTCTCCAGTTCCATCCAGGTTGCTGCCAATGGTAAGAATTCCTTCTTTTCTATGGCAGCGTAGTATTCCATCCTGTAGATGTACCGTAGTTTTCTGATCCAGTCATCTGCTGACGGGCACCTCGGCTGTTTCCAAATCTGGACCCCCCTTTCCGTGAAGATATTCACAGGTAGTCGGTCCCTGGTTTACAAACAGGTTGACCTGACGATGATGTGAATGAAAGCCATGCCCACGCAGTAGAAGCCAGACTTTTAAAACTGATCTCTCCCGGGCCCCTGCTGTGCCGGGCGGGGAGTCCCAGCTCCCGGCTGCCACAGGGTCAGGAGCCAGGGCGCGGTGAGCACAGGCCGAGCTGGTCACACCGGGGCCGGCACCTGCCAGCTGTGTGGCCTTGGGCTGCAGTGTCCGCTCCTGCACGCCTTCCTGTTTCCTGGTTCATAAGACGAGACAAATAAAAGCTGCCTCTCCTGTCGGGCCACCACAGGGAAGTGAGCGAGAGAGCAGAATGCCCGGCCAAGCCTGGCGCTGGGAAGGGCCTGGTGAGCCGGTGGTGGTGGTGCTGGGGACGCAGTGGGACGGGGCCGTGCAGGACCAGGTATGGCTTTCCGTCCTGCTTTCTCTGACCAGCTGAGCTGCCTGGCCAGGGCCTGATTCTCCTCTTAAAGGGCCCGTTGCAGGGATCCAGTCCCTGGTTAAGACCTCCTTTCATAGCTGCCACATTTTGTTACTGCCATCCTCCCCCCCCCCCCCCGTGCCTCCCCTGTGCCCCCCTTCCCCCCCCTTCCCCCTGCAAGCTTTCTAGGTCCAGGTAGGAGCCACACCAGGTCCTCTTCCCGCCACCCCGGCCCCTGGCCCCGCCCAGGTGCCAGCATTGTTCAGGTGGGACCACCCCAGCAGGCCCGGCCCACCCGCCCACCTGCCCAGTCAGAGCCCCCCCACGGCCTCCCCAGGGGGGTGCACGCTGCCCGTGGGACCAAGCCGGTTGGTCGCCAGCTGTCGACCTTGCTTTGAACTTGTTTACTGCTGAGTGAGTTCAGGGAATGACATCATGTTCGAGCTCCCTGGTCTAAATTTAGGCCCCAGGAAAATAACTTCCCCTGGGCAAGCTCCAGGCCCGCTCTGCCGAGAGAACGAGGCCGCGGAGCCGAGCCCATGTTCGCGCCCCGAGCCCCAGGGCCTGTGCCCACACCGAGCGCTCAGGCCGGGCGAGGGGGCCGGCGTGACTCCAGGCCACCGGCCGCCTTCGTGATCTCTGCGCCCACATCTGTGCGCCCGCTTCTCGCTCCTCCACAGAGCGCACCCCACAGGGTGGGGAGGGACTCCGGTCAGAGCGGAGGAGGACAGTGACAATGGAAAAAGATTGCTAAAGCAAACACCTATCTATCTATATCTATAAAAAGCCAGCGACCCGAAAGCCAGATCGCCCGGTGGCTCTGACACCCACTGCGTCCAGCGAACCAGCCAGATCTGGGGGCGGGGCCTGCCAGCCAACCTCCTGCAGCCCCTCCCCCTGCCCCAGCCACTCCCCAGATTGGCTCCCCATCCCAATCAGGAGCAGAGCCAGCTGGCCATCCACCCACAGCCCCTCTCCCAGCCAGCCCGGCCCTGACCTCCCCAATCCGCTGATTGGGGCTGTGCCGGCCTGCCCCCCCCCCCCGCCCGCTGCACAAATGTGTGCACTGGGCCTCTAGTTATGAAATAGAATATAACATGAGTATGGATTTTTTTTTTAATATATTTTTGCTGATTTCAGAGAGGAAGGGAGAGGGAGAGAGGGCGAAACAACGATGATGAGAGAGACTCCTTGATCGGCTGCCTCCTGCACACTCCCTACTGGGGATTGAGCCTGCAACCTGGGCATGTGCCCTTGGCCAGGAAGTGAACTGTGACCTCCTGGTTCATAGGTTGATGCTTAACCACTGAGGCACACCTGCCGGGCTATTTTAGTGTCCTTTTACTTTATTTTTTTTTTAATTTTTAAAAAATATATTTTATTGATTTTTTACAGAGAGGAAGGTAGAGGGATAGAGAGCTAGAAACGTCGATGATAGAGAAACATCGACCAGCTGCCTCTTGCACACTCCCTACTGGGGATGTGCCCGCAACCAATGTACATGCCCTTGACCGGAATCGAACCTGGGGCCTTTCAGTCCGCAGACCAACGCTCTACCACTGAGCCAAACCGGTTTCGGCTTTAGTATCCTTTTAAAAAGCCAGGGGACATGTGGCGGGGACCCTGGGAGCCAGCAGAGTGGGGCCCTGGGTGGGATGCTGGCTCTGCACACACACCCCCCCTCCCCATTCTCCCGCGAGCTCTTCTGCTTTGTGCCCCAAATAAGCTTCAGGAAGAGCAGGTACTTCTTTCTCCAAAGCCGCACTATGACCTGCTGTGCCCTGCACCTTCCTTCTGCTAGAGGGACGTGGTTGGGGAGCAGGGAGACGGACGTAGCATCAGAAACAGTCCAAATAACGGGCGGCACGGGATTCGTGGGATAAGCAATCGGTGACTAGAACGCCATGCAGCCATCTTGTATTGAGAGCATTTTCAGAGGCATGGCAGATCCTCCGCATGCTGTGTGAGTCCCGTGTGGGGAAAGCAGAGCAGTGTGTGCGTGTAGGGGGAAACCTCTGGGAAAATGGGGCTGGATCCTCTACAATGTTACCGGGGTGGTGGAAGCTGTGAGTGGTGTGAAATAATTGGTGATTTTGACCAGATTTCCCCTCCACCCCCCCCCCCCTGTATTAATATTTTCTGCTTCTTGCAAAGGCCAGTCATTGCTCTGGCGACCAGAAAGGAATACCCATAGCATTAAGAGAAATGCTTACCAGTCCCCTCTGCGTGTCCCCCATGGAGAGAAGGCGGGCTCTGGGATGGGAAGAGGGAGGAGTCCGCAGCCATGGTGGTTGGAGCGCGCTGTGGCCACCAGAGGGCGCCGTGTGCATGTGGCACAGAGCCTGTAGTTTTCCCCCCCCCCCCTCTTTTATTGTTTTAGGTGCCTTCTGCGGACATTCTGCAGGTAATGTGTGTGCAGGAAAGGGTTGCAGGTGACAGGGCCAGCATGTGGCCTGGATGCTTATAGCATCTCTAAAAAAGTGAGCTAGAGTCTTCCCAGTCCCCCCTTCCCCGTTCCCAGCTTACTGTAGCTCCTACAGACCGCCGAGCCACCCCAGCACCCCGTCCCCAGGTATTTTTAGTCATTGTTCCATCTGGCCCCGCAAGCCACGTGTCTAAAAACAGCCTCTGTCGTCTTGCTTCACCCTCAGAGGCTTCCGACGAGCAGAATTCGCAGTCTTCCGCGGAGAACTCGGCGAGCAGTGCGGAGAAGGCCGAGCGGCAGCCGTCTGGGGACCCGGGCCTGGCTGCAGAGACGCCCTCCATCGCTCAGGTACCCTGATCCCCGAGGCCTCAGAGGGGCAGCCAGGCCGGCCGGGCGCCCGTCGGGGGGCTGGGGGACCATTGACAGGTGTTTTGTTGTTTTGTCTTGCTTTCTCGTTGGCCGATCGGAACTCTTGTGCCTTCCCTGAGCGGGAGCGTCCCGCTGTGTCCCGCCCCGGGCGCTGGGGCTGGTGTAGGAAGAGGGAGGGCCCTCAGCTCCATAAGTTTGTTCCCGTCACCTTCCCCTGGAGCTGGGGCGGCGATACATCCTCCGAGTCCTCAGACGCCAGATAAAATAGTCTTTGAAGATGTTTTGCAACTGACCACAGCTCCCCATGTCCAGACCCCTCTCCGGGGCATCGCCGTTGGTCAGAATCTGTGCTGAGTCTGTGCAGAAGCAGGAGGCCCGGGGCTGGGGTGGTAGGGGAGAGGGGGATAGGAGCAACGCCCCGGCTTCAAGTCCCAGCTTTGTAAGCACACACAGACGTTGGCTTCAGTGTCTCCAGCTGCCAGAACGGGACCGCCGGGCTGGCTCGGGGCTGGCGTTCGATGAGATGAGAGAACCTGGGTAGCACGCTGTGGAGCTGGACTTGGAAGATGCTTCCGTGTTGCCTCGGCGACCGTGACGCCTCTCTCCGCGAGCCCTCTGTGCTCGTGTAAAAGAAGGGAGAGTGCCCGGCTGGTGTGGTTCAGTGGTGGAGCACTGACCTATGAACCAAGAGGTCACGGTTCGGATTCGCGGTCAGGAGCACATGCCCGGGTTGTGGGCTCGATCCCCAGTAGGGGGCGTGCAGGTCATGTGCCCTGACCGGGGATGGAACCGCAGCCTCCTGGTTCGTACGTAAGGTCGACGCTCGGCCACTGAGCCTCGCCGGCCGGGTTTCTGCTCTGCGAGGAGCTCCTCTCGGGTTTGCACTTGGTGGTAAACTTGGAAAGTCCGTCATTCTAACCCGAGGGCTCGCTCGGGGAAGTTGTAGAATAAAGCCTTGTTGAAGACTGTGCTGGGAGGCTGTCATTCGGGCGAGAGACGGCGGCAGCTCAGGACAAGGCGCTGGGCAGAGGGAGAGGCAGGCGGGCTCTAGGGTCCTTGGAGAGAGAGGTGATGGGACTTGCTGTTAGGCTGGGTGTGGGGGTGTGGAGAGAAAGGGGGGTCTCCCGGGCATTGTCCCGCTTTGTCCCAGGAAGATGTCAGCACCCCCAGCAGGTAGGGGATGGGTGAAGTCAAGAATTGGTGCCAGGCCCGTGTGGCTCAGTGGTTGAGCATTGACCTGTGAACCAGGAGGTCATGGTTCCATTCTGGTCAGGGCACATGCCTGGGTTGCAGGTTCAATCCCCAGTGTAGGGTGTGCAGGAGGCAGCCAATCAATGATTCTCTCTCATCACTAATGCTTCTCTCTCTCTTCCTTCCTCTTCGAAATCCATTGGGGGGAAGGGGAGGAAACTGTTCTCAGGTGGTGAACACAAATGCAATATACAGGTGATGTCTTATAGAACTGTACCCCTGAACTCTATATAATTTTACTAATCAACGTCACCCCAATAAAGTCAATAAAAAAAAAAGGGGGGGGTTGTTCTCAGGTGACAGGTGAGGTTGGAAATGATGGCGTGGGACCGCCAGGCAGGATGTGGGAGCGTGACCGTTGAACCTGTGTTTGAGTCAAGGGACTTCTGGGAATTGGCTGACACCCACAGGCCCTCTCCCATTCCCGGGCACGTTTAACAAATGCCGAGCGCTCGCCTGGGCCGGGCACCCGGGCTGGGCCCCGGGGAGCAGTGGTCAGCAGGGCAAGGCTGGTCTGGGCGTGGCTCTTGAGAAGTAAACTTCAGCCTCACCCTGGCGGTCACTCACGGGTGGGAGGACGGATAACGGGGGGACACCTGCTCCAGGAGGGGTGGGCTGAGGGAGAGCTTAGGAGAGGACACGAAGGGAGGTCAGTGTGAGGGGACAGGCAGGACCGAGGCGACGAGGTTCTGGAGACCCAGGGGGAGTTTGGGTTTGAGGCTTCCTGCCGGTGTGCGACCCTCCCCAAGTCCACGCTCTCCGGCCTTCAGGTCCTGCCCTCGGTTTCCTCCCAGGCTGACCTTTCACCTCCTGGCAGCCCTGAACGGATCTCCTGGCCTGTTAACCTGCCATTCTCTCTCTCTCTCCCTCCCTCTCTCTCTCTTTTAAATATTTTAAAATATATTTTGATTTTTTTATAGAGATGAAGGGAGAGGGATAGAGAGCTAGAAACATCGACCAGCTGCCTCCTGCACTCCTCCTCCCCCCACTGGGGATGTGCCCGCAACCAAGGTACATGCCCTTGACCGGAATCGAACCCGGGACCCCTCTGTCCGCAGACCAACTGGCTCTACCACTGAGCCAAACCGGTTCCGGCTAACCTGCCATTCTCTTTCCTTCTTCCCCCAAGGATTTGGAAGGAGGGCCGCCCTCTAAAAAGATGAAACTGGAGGCTTCCCAACAAAGCTCGGAGGAGATGTAGGCGTGCGGGGGATCCGGGCTCCGGTCCGCGCGTCCCGGGAGACCCCTCAGCAGGCTGGCTTCTGGGCTGACGGCCCCGAGCGAGCCCTCGGTGAGACCGCGGACTTCCCAGGCTTACCGCGTGCAAACCCAAGCGAACCCAGCGCGGCGCGGCCTCGCCCGGACACTGCGGACCCTCCCGCCGAGGGGCAGAACCCGCGGATCTCGAAGCGACTGTCCTTGTGGAGGCGGGCCGGCCTCGGGGGTGTGGGGCACTGTCTCCGAAGCCAAGGTTCCGTTTGCGTTGCTGCTGTACCGTCTTTCCTCGCCCCACCTCTCCCCCCTCCTCACGACATCAGCGACCAGCGACCAGAGGGCGGCTCCCACCAGGAGTTCACGCTGCGTCCCACCGGTCCCTCCTCCCCGCTTTCCTTTCCTGTGCCTTGTGCCCTCGAGGCGACCTCCGGCATGTTTCCCCAGTGGTTCTGCATCTCCCTTTGCGAAGTGCCCTCTCGGCTCCGCGGAGGCTGCCATGGCCCCCGCCCTCGCGTCTCGCTCCCCCCGTCCCAGGACTTCATTGGGCGCAGAGCAGGCTGGGGAGGAGGAGGAGGAGAGCAGCGGGACCTCCTCGGCCACCTGCCCAGCCTCCATGGTTCGGTCCGCGGAGCCTCTGGTGTCAGGGCATCTCTCCCCCCAGCACCGGCGACTCGATACACTCACTTCCTCCTTCCCCGGAGCCTCTGAACCTGGCGTTTCCCCCGGACACGCGGAGCCCCTCCATCCTTCTGGCGCTTCCACCCTCTGCCGCCGCCCCACCTCCGAAGATGGGGGGGATGTCTGTGGCCGACTGCGGGACCGTCTCCAGATGACAGGCTGGGAGGCTGGGAGCGGCGGCAGGAGAAGCTGGTGTTCTCAGAGGATTCCAGATCCACAGGGATCCGCTGCCCTGGGCCTCCCCAGGCCCTTGCCCCCCCCCGGGGGGGGGGGGGGAAGGGGTCAAGATTGCGATCCAGGAAGCCCGCTTGCTTCTGCATAACGTTCCGGACACCACCACCACCGAGCCAGCCGCTGGGTCCTCTTATTCCCAGGGTCCCCTGTGGTCGGTCCCCCCAAGAAGGCCAGAAGGGAGGCACCGAGGAGCGGAAAGCTTTGCCCTCCAAGAAGCGGGGATTGAACCCCTGCCTCCGCCTCTGCCCGCCCGGGGCAGCTGCTTCTCAGTCAAGGGAAACACAGCCCCTTGGACCAGCGGCCTGAGTGTCTGGCTCGGAGGCAGCCTGGTTGCTCTCCGTTCCTCTGTGGCCCTCTCAGCCCCTCGCCCGGTTCCCGGGTTTCTCTCCCGCCCTGGAGGCCGCCTCCCTCAGAGCTGTGTGTGGTGGGGAGGGAGGGGGGAGGATTGAGAGGGTTTGTTGGCGCTTTCTGGTTTTTGTTGTGTTTTGTTTATTTTGCTAACTGGTGCATATTCAGGTTCCACCTTGGACGCGGGGATCTCTCTCCTGGCCACCATGCGTCTCTGAGGGGGAGGCTCTCCCTCTCGCCCGTTTCCTGCACTTCGAGAAGAATCAAAATGTTCCTGAATTTCAAATACCTCATGCAAAAGCGTCTCCCGAGATAAGGGGAAACACACATGCGAACTTCGGAGATCTCCCTGTTGAAGGGAGCGGTGGTGGCCGGACGTGTTTTGTCTTAAAAAAAAAAAGAAGAAAAAATCCTCATCCGTTTCACGGCCCTCGGCCCTGGGCGGCCAGTGCTCCGCAGACCTGAGCTCCTCCAAGTTACCTCTCAGCGACGCCGGCGGCTTTACCTCCAGACCCTGTAGGTTCGAGTCACGTTTTCCTTTGCAGCAAAACTCCGTCTTGACGAAGGGCGAGTTGGGATGTGTATCTCCTGCTCTCGTTTGGGAAGCGAGAGGGGGGGCGGCTCAGACAGCCGGCGGAGCGTCACGCACGCGCTTGCACACGCACGTCCATCGGCCAGGCTCCCCTGCGCCCTCGGTGGGCCCCGCGGACAAGCCAGTGGGGAACGAGGACGCCGTCCACAACACCAAGGCTGTCACTAGTTTTTCTCTGAAGTGCCTGAAGGGAGGGGTGGGCCGGTGGCCTGGGAGCAGCAACCTGGCCACGCCACGGCCACGCCAGGCCACGTGCCAGCGCGGTCCAGACGAGACTGCAAAATCCAGATGTGCTTCCTTCCCCGCGGCCCGCTCCCTGGAGCCGCTGGCCCCCGCCCACCCTGCAGCTGGCCCGGCCAGGATGGGGCCCTGTGCCTTCCGTGGACACCAGGCCCCGTGGCCTCAAGGGCTCCCAGGACAAACCCGTTCCCCCGGACCGGGGGCGCCGTGGCTACACATTCCACGAAGTGCTGGCACTTACACCCGCGCCCGGAAGGCCGGCCGCCGCTGCGCGGGGGGTGACCTCCCGTTTCCAACGGCGGCGTGGCCGGGCAGGTTCTCGACCGCCAAGGACCTGGCTAGAGGCATACAGACCTTTTGTTCACGTTACCTGATTTTTTTGTTGTTGTTTTCTCTTACGATTTTTCTTTTTTTCTTTTTCTTTTGGTGTGCTGTACAGCAGTATAATTTTTCACTTATTTATTCCATCAGTAGGTATGGGTTTGTACAATGTACAATGGTTCCATTTCAGGAAATGAAAATAAAAAATTTGGATCATGACCGTCGTCAATAAAAGGTGAAATCCAGCTGATGGCGGGAGCGTCCCTCGGCCCCTGCCCTGGCCTCCGGCCCGCGCGGGGTGCAGGACGCCCTAAGGTCCTGGCACACCGGCGTGCCGGCTGCTGCCATCAGGTACCGGTGGGTACCGTGGGCAGGTGTGGTGGTCACCCTATCACGGGGAGCAACCTCAGGCCTGTGTCATGCAGCAGATCGGAGCCCCAGTTTAGAAGCCACACCTGCCCAACTTCCCCCCCACCCCCCTTCTCCCCACACACACACTCCAACCAGGGTCTGTCCCGGGCTCGGCCGCTGGGGCCCGTGGCCAGGCCTCTGAGAGGTCAGTCCACATCCCAGGCGTGTTGTCCTGACTTGTCTTAACTCGCCATCTGGTGCGGTGCTCCGAGCAGAGCCAGAACCTTCCGGGCACCTTTCCCCCTCCCAGCAGCTGGGCCTTTCCCTCTCCGCTCAGACTTCCTCTCTGAGTTGACGTCTTTATTTTATTTCTCTCGGTCCAGCCTCACTTCCTCTTGCACCTGTCCCGGGCCCCGGGGGAGCGGAGACCGGGAAAGGGGAGCGCTCAGGCGGAGCCTGCTCCACACCTCACCCCGTGGCCCCCCTGCAGGCACATGTTCCCTCCGTGTTTGTGCCCCTCCGCGCCCCACCCCTCTGCTTTCTAACACGCCCCGGTGTTTTCACTGGGGCTGGTTGCTCAGCAAAATAAACTCGCGACGTGGGAAGTTCAGCCGGACGGAACACCGGGCACAGGGGCCTGTTTGCTTAGCAACCAAAACGCGTTCACCGGCCCCCCTTCCCGCCCTCGCTGAGCGCCTGCTGCCGGCGTCACCGTCCTGGATGGAGGTCCCTGCTTCCCAGACGCCTCCCTGTGCCTCTCCCCCTCTCTCTGCCGTTCTCCCCCCACCACACCCCCCAGACCGCTGCCTCCCAGGCGTTTTGTTTCCACTTTTCTGTGTTTCTCTTGGCTTCTCTGGCTTTTTCAGCTCCCTGCCTGCCTGTCTGTCTGGAGCTGTCCGACTTCCTCTCCTTTCCCCATGCTGAGGAGCAGTCAGTTTTGCAGGCTTTCCATGCATCCATTGAGCGCCACGTGTGTGCTGAGCCCTGGTCAGCAGTGATGCAAACTTGACCCTTTCCCTCGGGGCAGAGAAGTGAGCCAGTCTGTGTGCACTAGGGCCGTGGTCGGCTAACTGCGGCTCGCGAGCCACACGCGGCTCTTTGGCCCCTTGAGTGTGGCTTTTCCACAAACTACCACGGCCTGGGCGAGTCCAGGTTGAAGAAGTGGCGTTAGAAGAAGTTTACGTTGAAAAAACGTGGCTCTCCAAAAAAAATTTCAGTCATCGCCCTGTTGATATTTGGCTCTGTTGGCTAATGAGTTTGCTGACCATTGCCCCAAGGTGCCTGGCTGTTTGTGAGGAGTTCTGGGGGAGATGATTTTGATGGTGTGGCTGGGAAGGCTCCTGGGATGGTGGAGGAAGCCCGGGCACCAGGCTGAGAAGCTTATTTTCCCTCGTTGATAAGGAGTGGCTGGAGGTTCTGAGCCAGGGCTCTGCTGGACGGAGGGCGGGGTTTGCCAGGGTGGCAGGGGCTGGAAAAGGTCAGACTGGAGGTGGGGCCGGACAACCAGGGAACTGGGGCAGTAGGCCAAGCAGCAGGCGGCGTGTTGGCTGGAGGGGCTGTGCGCCCCGAGGTAATGTGAGGCATAGACTGTAGGCAGGAGGACGGGACAGGTAGGCTGGGGAGACAGGTAAGAGTTCTGGATCACCTGAGTGTCATGGAGGTCGGTGGCTGGTTTCAAGGAGGAATTGCACCAAGCCTTCAACACCACTCCGGGTGAGGAATGCACAGTTCCCTGCTGGAGGCCCATAAGTAGACACCAGCTGCCTTTGCCAGTTGCAGTCCCTTCTTCTTCCAGTAGAGGGCCCCCTCACTCACTCTCAGTCCCATGGATGACCGTGTGACCCAGGTCTAGGTCCCTCCCCCTAAGGACAGCAATTGGTTTCCAGGGTGATCACATGACCAAAAGTGGCCCAATGAGAGTCAGCCCTGGGATTCTTTGCGGGAACTGTCGGGGAAAGTTCTACTGGAGTGTGAAATGGAGCTGCTGACGCCCCCTCCCCCAAGGTGGGGGAGAAGCCTGCCTAAAAATGAAGGCAGCCCCCGAGAGAGTTGAAAGACGGTGAGTGTGAGCTGCCTGAGAGGAGCATTGGAGCACTTGGTCCCAGCCGGCCCTGAGCCAGCCCTTCTCCTGAACGTTCCAGTTTTGTGAGCCAGTCCATGCCCGTGATAGTTTCAGTCTGCTTTCAGTGGGTCTTTCCCACAGGAGGCCCCATGTGAGGTGTCTCCTGGGCAAACCCAGGAGGAGTGGGTGCTGAGATGGTGCTCTGACTCCTAATTGGGAGCGTTCCTCTCCCCTCCACACCGCTCCTCTTTCCATGTGCCCGTGTGACAAGGACTCGGAAATTTCCCAGCTGGCACCGGGAACTAAACGGAGGATAACATGGGCCCGCTGTGGACTTCGGAAGCAGCCTCTTCTGGAACCCTCAGAGCTGCCGCACCTTAGAGCTGTGTGACCTCGGGTACGTATTTGAACGCCTCTGGGCCGCAGTCCCCTCAGCTGGGAAATGGGGAGAATAATAGTGCCTGCTCGGGCGGTTGTGAGGATTAAATGAATTAAAACATGTAAAACGCTTGGGATGAGCCCTGGCACATAGAGAATCTCAATAAACATTCGCTGCTATTGTCATTACCACTGTAGCTATTATCCTCAAGCATGTTTAGACTCCAGAATTCCAGTTCCTGGAAAATGATGCACAGAGAAAGCAAGAGTCACCACCTCCCCCCTACCCCCTGCCCAACTGCTTTGGGCTTGCCCTCTGAGTTACACTTTCTCTCTCTCTCTAAATATATTTCATTGATTTTTTACAGAGAGGAAGGGAGAGGGATAGAGACCTAGAAACATCAATGAGAGAGAAACATCGACCAGCTGCCTCCTGCACACCCCCTACCGGGGATGTGCCTGCAACCAATGTACATGCCCTTGACCGGAATTGAACCTGGGACATTTCAGTCCGCGGGCCGACGCTCTATCCACTGAGCCAAACCGGTTTCAGCTGTAGCCCCATTTTAAAGATGTGAAGACTGAGATTCAGATACGACGGTGCCACAGGTGACCCAGCACGCAGGGAAGGCCCAGGGTGCAGGTGGGCGTGCTTGCTGTCCTGGCTCATTGCTCCCTTGTTAGATTCGGGCTTGAAATCCACCCGTGACTGCAGACTGGATCCCATTTATATGAAATTTCTAGAAAAAGCAAAAGTATGCCATCAGAAATTAGGACTTGGGTTATTTGGGGCTGGGAACAAAGATTAGCTGCAGAGAGGAAGGAGGAAATGTTTTCAACTGTACTCTTTTTTTTTTTTTAATCAATCTTTATTGTTCATATTGTTACAAAGGTTCCTCATTTCTTCCCCCCTCCATCAGGTTCCCACCCCACCCTGAAGTGTACTCTTGAAGTGGGTGAATCTCCTGGGGGTGTAAAATGAGTTGAATAAAGCCCAGGAAATGCCTCTCTTTCTTCTTCCCCTGTGCCTCAGTTTCCCTTAGGGGGTGTGTGAGGCTGGCTGTCCAGATTGTCAAGGGCCATCCACCCACAGGAGTCTTCCAGGCCCCCCCACAATCAGATGCTCCCCACCAGCATGACCTGGCCCGGCAAAGGGATCTGTCAGGGGGCGGGGCGGGGTCTCCGGGGCCAGAGGTGACACTGAATGACCACGAAGCATCCTGTTTTGCGTCCCCGTATCTGACCTGCTGTCTGGCGGGCCGGAGAGCCACGTGCGGCGGATGCCCGGGCCTCAGACTGTTTCTCCAAGTGGTCCCCAGAGAGGCGGCTGCCTTCCAGCTCCCGCGCTTGTTTATTTTCAAAGGGATGTTGCCAGACCGCGAGGCCTCCCTGCCCTTTCACGGTTTGTTTCCTGTAAAAAAAAAGATTCAGGAGGCGAGTGAGGCGGGAGCGCCACCTGAAATCAATTCTTCTGCCGGCAAAGAGCGGCAAGAGGCCCCACTGTCAGGTTTGAGGAGTGTGCGGGGCCAGGAGGCCCCCTGGCTGACCCTGACCCCAGGACACCTGAGGTCCTGATGGTGTTAATGATCATTGCGGATATCCAACCAGTGACTGATGCTGGGACCACTGGAGATGCCTGTACAAGCCTGAGTGAACCCCAGCCCATACCTTGCACCTTATAGCTGGCAAAAGTCACTCAAAATAGCCCTAAACGGTTTGGCTCAGTGGATAGAGCATCAGCCTGCGGACTGAAGGATCCCAGGTTCGATTCTGGTCAAGGGCATGTACCTTGGTTGCGGGCACATCACCAGTAGGGGGCGAGCAGGAGGCAGCTGATCAATGTTTCTCATCAATGTTTCTAACTGTATCTCTCTCTCTTTCTCTCTGTAAAAAAAAAATCAATAAAAATATTTTTTTAAAAACGTCACTCAAAATGGATCCTAGGCCCAAATGTAACTAAAAGTTCTAGAAGAAACATAAGAAAAAAGTCTTGGTGATCTGGTGGTTAGTCAAAACATTTTTAGGCATCGAAGTGCTAACTATAAAAGGAAAATATTGATAAATTGGACTTCATCATAATTACAAACGTCTTCTCTGCTAAAGAACTGCTAAGGGAATAAAAAGACAAGCCACAGACAGGCATATCTTTGCAAAAATACGTATCAGATAAAGGACTTGTATCTGGACTATATAAAGAACTCTCTGGTGGGTTAGAAGGGGTCAATGAGAGCAGAAGGGGGACATATGTAATACTTTCAACAATAAAATTTAAAATATATTTTTATTGATTTCAAAAAGGAAGGGAGAAAGAAATAGAAATATCGCTGATGAGAGAGAATCAATAGGCTGCCTCCTGCACGCCCCACAGTGGGGATTGAGTCTATAATCTGGGAGAGAGCCCTGACCAGGAATCGAACCGTGACCTCCTGGTTCATAGGTTGACGCTTAACTACGGAGTATGCTAACTGGGCAACGATAAAGATTTTTTAAAAATTAAAAAAAACAACAACTCTCAAAAGTCAATAAGAAAGCCAGCACGCACCCCCTAAAAAACCTAGCAAAATATTTGCACAGACACATCATCAAAGAAAATGTACAGAAAGTAAATAAGCACATGAAATACGATGCTTTGGCTCAATGGATAGAGCGTCGGCCTGCAGACTGAAGTGTCCCAGGTTTGATTCCGGCCAAGGGCACATGCCTGGGCTTGATCCCCCGTAGGGGGTGTGCAGGAGGCAGCCAGTCAATGATTCTCTCTCACCATTGATGTTTCTCTCTCTGGGCCTCTCTAAAATCAATAAAATATATTTAAAAACAAACAGACAAACAAAAAACTAGAAAGAGAGACCATACCAAATGCTGGTAAGGATGCAGAGAGATGGAGATTCTGCTTGCTGGTGGAAAGGGAAAATGGTACCACCCATTGAGAAAAACGTTTGGCAGGTCCTTCTAAAGTTAAATACAAACTTATCCCACAAGCCGGCCAGTCCCACTCCTATTTACCTAAGAGAAACCAACACATACGGAAGCCTGTGTGGGAATGTTTACAGTGGCCTCGTACGCAATCACCAAGAACTGGAAGCAACTGAAATGGCCTTCAACTGGTGAACGGATCGACAAGCTGTGCTGTACTCACAACACGAAACCCTTCTCAGAAATAGAACGGAATGGACGGCAGCTCCCCGCAGTAATGGGGTTGGATCTGGATGTGTTAGGCTGAGTGAAAGGAAGCCAGACTCAGGGTTGCTTACTGAATGGTTCCATTTATATGAAATTCTGGAAAAGGCAGAGCTATAGAGGCAGGAAGCCGATCGGTGGCTGCTGGGGACCCTGGGGTGGGGAGAGGGGCAGACTCCTGCAGAGGGCAGGGAAGGGTGTGTGTGTTAGGACTATTTCATGTCATGGCTGGCGTCGGTGAGTACCTGACTATATGTTTGTCCAGCTCGTGCAATTGTACACAAAAAAGAGGGAACGTTACTGTAGGTCATTCATACCTACTTCTGCTTTTGCTAAAGAACTGCTAAGAGAATAAAACAAAACAAAACAATAACAGCCGACATCACACCATAGGTTATGTGCCAGGCAGGTTGAAGTACTTTACGTACCTTAATTCACTCAATCCCTACAACTACCCTGTGACGTGGGTATTAATTATCCCCAAATTGTGAAAGTTTTGTCCCCAGAGCCCTCTCCCCTTCTCGGTCTCCACGCGGCTCGGCTTGACCCTCACGATCCTCCTCCTCCCTGGCCTCTCCCCTTTCCCGGACCGGCTCCTCTCACTCACACCATGTAGGAAGTTGACCCATGGAGGAGCACTCAGTTCGCAATGAGGCCAGCGGGGATCTCAGACTCCCATGCCTCCAGGGACCAAGCAGGCGATGCAGACCAGCAAACCCCACGACAGGGACAGCAGGGCGTGGTGGGGCCGGTGGGAAGCTGGGGAGCACGTGCTGTGTCTGAAGGGGATGGAGGCTCCTCTGCTCCAGCCCCTACAAAGCGGAGACAATATGGGCCCTGTGTTGTCAGATCTTCGGATAGTTCAAGGAAATCCTGACATCCTGATGTTTCTGTCGGTTTTTAAAATGTTAGCAAATAAGTCACATTAAAAACAAACAAAACAACAACAACGTTTAGCTGAAACCGGTTTGGCTCAGTGGATAGCGCCGTCCTGCGGACTGAAAGGTCCCGGGTTCGATTCAGGTCCAGGGCATGTACCTTGGTTGCGGGCACATCCCCAGTAGGGGGTGTGCAAGAAGCAGCTGATTAATGTTTCTCTCTCATTGATGTTTCTAACTCTCTATCCCTCTCCCTTCCTCTCTGTAAAAAATCAATAAAATATATTTTTAAAATATCTTTAAAAAAAAAGAAGAAAAATAAAAATTGCCCCCATCCAAGCAGATAACTGGTGTTAGTTAACACAGTGCACTCTCTGACATATACACATAAATATATGAATTTATTTATTTTTGAGTTTGATATAAAATTACTGATAATTTTTAATTTTGTTTTGTTTTGTTTTGTTAATTCTTACCCGAGGTTATTTTTTACATTGATTTTCAGAGAGAGTGGAAGGGAGGGAAGAGGGGGAAGGAGAGGGAGATTGGTTGCCTCCCACATGGGCCCCAACTGGGGTTAGGGATCAAACCTGCAACCTAGTTACCTGCCCAACCTCCGACCGTTTGGTCTGCTGGCCAATACTCTAACCACTGAGCAGAACCAGCTAGTGCTACTAACTTTTTTTATTTATATATTTTAAAATATATTTTATTGATTTTTTTTTTCCAGAGAGGGAGGGAGAGGGATAGAGAGTTAGAAACACCAATGAGAGAGAAACATCAATCAGCTGCCTCTTGCACACCCCTTACTGGGGATGTGCCCGCAACCAAGGTACATGCCCTTGACCGGAATCAAACCTGGGACCCTTGAGTCCGCAGACCAGTGCTCTATCCACTGAGCCAAACTGGTTAGGGCCTGATAACTTTTTAAAAGTTGTTTTTCCATCCAATATTTTATGGACTTTTTCCCATGCCAATATATATACACATACATCATTTAATATGTGGTGTTTCATTGTATTTGTGGCCATATATAACCCAATGACTTCCTTCTTTTTTCTTTTTTTTAAAATATGTTTTATTGATTTTTTACAGAGAGCAAGGGAGAGCTAGAGAGCTAGAAACGTCGATGAGAGAAACATCATCGACCAGCTGCCTCTTGCACACCCCCTACCGGGGATGTGCTTGCAACCAGTGTACATGCCCTTGACCAGAATCGAACCCAGGACCCTTCAGTCCGCAGACCGACGCTCTACCACTGAGCCAAACTGGTTTCGGCTGACTTCCTTCTTGTTAGACATTACATTGTTCCTGTTCATGCTTTATAAACGGCACTGCAGTCCTCATTCTTGTACAAGTATCCTCAGGCTAAAATTCTAGAAGTGAAAGCTGGACATTTAAGAGTTGACCAGGAAGAAACATTTCCAGGTGAAAGAAGGCAAATCATAGGCTGGCAGCTTCAGATTTTTGCAACCAGTGTTCAAAGCCATGGTCCCAGGTGGCGTCCTCCTCCTCCTCCTCCTCCTCTGGAGAGACATCTAGGAAAGGAGTGAGTGCCGCCCAGTTAGGTGAGCCCTTCCTCCCCTCCATCCTCAGCACCCTCCCCTTCAGGAGGAGGGAGGGGCGAGGCGCTCAGCCTGCATCCAAATGTGGAAGCGAAACTGGCTTCAGAGTAGGGGAGGGTGAGTCACTGGAGGACTCCGGAGGTCCCGCTGGGGCCAGGGTGCGTGCTCTGGGCCCAGGGGCCTCACTGGGCCTCTTGATGCCCTGACACGCCCCCTCTCCCCACACTACTCCCACCCCAGGCTGGCTCTGAGTTCCTAAAACCTTCTCAGCTTTCTAGAAGCGTTAACCATTAGATTGAACCATACCAAATTGCCGTTCCTGTAGGTCAACAGTGGTTGGGTATCGGCATTATTTAGCTACTTCTACATTGCACACGTACTGAACACTCATCCTGGGCCAGGTGTTGTGTCTGAGCACTTTGTACTCTTTTTTTTCCTTTTTATTTATTTATTTATTTCTTTTTTTTTTTTAACTGTCACAACTTTCTGGTGCATAGGAACTGCTCCCCCACTGGACGGAAAACAAATCTCTGGCTCAGAATTTCCCTGGCTCGCCCTCCAAACTTAAGATCTTAAAACAAGCGCTTCTGCGGACGGACGGACAGACTGCGATCTCCCAGGAAAAAAACGCCTCCACTTGGCAGAGCCACCTCTGTGTTTAGCGAGGTCTCGGAGAGAAGTTTCCTTGACTTTGTTTTCACGGTCGGAAAAATGCCTTTTTGTATTCTGGGACTCAGTCTTCTCATCTGTAAAATGGGGACAGCCACCACGGCGCCCCGCAGCATCAGGGAGGAGCTGTTGAGGACGCAGTTCCGGGCTCTGCAGGAGAAAGCGGGGTTGGGGTTGGGGTTGAGGTTGGGTATGGGGTTGAGGTTGGGGTTGGGGTTGGGGTTGGGGTCGGGGGCCAGGAGAGGCGCGAAGGGGGAGCCCCACCCCCACCCTCCACGTGGAGGGACCGCCCCGCCCCGCCCGCAGCTCGGCCGCAGGGCGATTCCCCGGAGCGTGGGGCGGGGTCAGCGCCGCAGGCTCGGCCTGCGCCTCCTCTAGGCCAGGACACTGGCGACGGACACCACCCGGCCACCGCGTCTCCCGGGCACCCGGACAGCCCGGAGGGGAAGGGGCGGCGGGGGCGGGGCTCAGAGGCGTGGCCCCGGCTCTGCCTGTTTTTTTTTTCTTTTTTCTTTTTGTCCGCCTAGATACCGAAAGGCTCCCCTGCGCCTTTAAGAGGCCGAGGCGGGCATCCGATTGGCCGAGACGCGATGCTGACGTCACGCGGGGGCGGGCGCCGAGGCGGCCCGGTCGGCCCGCGCCCTCCCCGCCCCCCATCACGCCCCGCGGCGCGCTCGCTCGCGGGCAGTCGGCGCGCGGGCCGGGCCGGCGTCCCCCTCAGCCTCGCCCGCCGCCCGCGTCGCCCCGGAGCCCCGGGGGATGCCCCCGGCCGGGCGCCCCCATGGCCGCCGACGTCTTCATGTGCTCCCCGCGCCGGCCCAGCAGCCGGGGCCGCCCGGTGCTGCTCAAACTCCCGGTGCCCGAGGACGACGACGACGACTCGGACACGGATGAGCCGTCCCCGCCGCCCGCCTCCGGGGCGGCCCCCGCGGCCCGGGCCCCCGCGAGCGCCAGCGCCGCGCCGCCGCCGCCCTGGGCCGCGCCGGGCCCACGCGAGGAGCCGCCGCGCCGCCAGCAGATCATCCACAGCGGCCACTTCATGGTGTCGTCGCCGCACCGCGAGCACCCGCCCAAGAAGGGCTACGACTTCGACACGGTCAACAAGCAGACGTGCCAGACCTACAGCTTCGGCAAGACCAGCTCCTGCCACCTGTCCATCGACGCCTCGCTCACCAAGCTCTTCGAGTGCATGACCCTGGCCTACAGGTAGGGGACCCGGCGACGCCGTCCGGCCCCACCTGTCAAGCCGCGCTTCCTGCGTTGACAAAACCAGCGTTGGGGGGGGGAGCCGAGGGGGGGCTGGGCCGCCTTGTGGGGGGACGGACCCCTTGACTCCACGCAGGCCCTCGGGGTCGCCCCCGCCTCCCCCCCCGCTTTTTGGGAGGGTTTATGGGTCCGAGGTCCCGGCCTCTTCCCCTGCCAGCAGGGCTCCGCTTCTTCCGGCTTCGCGCTCCCCACCCGTGCCCTCCTCCTCCCGGTGTCCCCGAGGCCGCCACCGATTTGGGACCGGAACGAGGTGTCCCTGCGGGCTCGCCCCTCCTCCCAGACTCCAGCGTCAGACCACCACCTGCCCGGCTGTGGTGGCTCGGTGCAGGTGCCAGCCTGGAACGGTGGGAGCCTCTCTCCTCCCGGATAAAGAGGGGATGAAGGCGTCGTACCTGCTTGGCTCGGCCGCTGTGGGGATGGGAGGTGGATGGGTTGCCGCGCTCCCTGACGCCGCCGCCGCAGGGTGTCTGGCTCCTAGCGGAAGGCTCCTTTTCTTGTCCCAGCACTGGGAGGCTGGGTCTCCTGGCACCCCCAGCTTGGGAGGGGCCCTGGGCGTCTCCCAGGAAGACTTCTGGAACCACAGCTGTTGGAGGGGCAGCCTGTCCTCCTGGCACGCCGGAGGGTTCGCTGGCCCGGCCCTGAAACATTATACGGAGATGCCCGTGTGGAGGGCAGGCATCCCAGACACCACCCTGACGTGTGTGGCTTTGGCTCTGGGGCAGAGGGGAGGCACTGAGATGCCAGAGCCTCGCTTTCCATTCTCTCCCTTCCTCCCGGTGTTAGGTCTTAGCCTCAGGCGACTCTGCACCCGAGCTCGCCCCTGGGTCGCATCTCTGCGAAGCGGGGTTACTCATTCAGGAACTGGCCTGGCTCAGGCTGGCTAGGCTGTTCTCTGCAGGCAGCCCAGGAAGTTTCCTAGGAGATCCCAGAAAAGTGTAAAGAAGGGGAACATTTCCCACCCCCTCCCCCTTTTTTTGGGGGGAGAGCCATGAGCCCAGACTACATCCAAGTTAAAACATTACCCATTTACCGGAAGTCGAAACGCTAGATACGGGACTCGGGGTGACATTTCCCTCTTCTGGAATAAATGATTAATCCATTTGTTCCTTTGTTATGTTCCTGAAATGCCCCCACCCTCCCATTTCCTCTCCGAGGCCTTCCCTGGCGGTTTGTTTGCCACATGGCTGCAGCAGGTTACCCTTTAATGGCGCGTTGGTCCGGCTCTGCTTTGCCGCTCTGGTCTTGCCAGTTTGAGCTGGCACCGGGCCTGTGAAGATGTTCTGTTTTGTTTTCTGTTTTTAAACAAATGACATTGAGGCGGCGGCCCTCGGCCTTCCTTGTAGCTCTGCTTACACCATCTCAAATGTTGAGCGCTTCCATTGGAATATGCCCCATGTGAGAGAGCCCTCTCACACAAAGCAAGGAGTGAAAGACAGGAATGTGTTTTATTAAAAGAACTTAATCCTCTTCTCTATTTTAATATAAACTCCACATACAGGGAGAGATTGGATGACTGAGTTGCAGGAGGTATGGGCTAGCAAAGAATAAACCAGTCTCCCTTTTGCCCTCAGTTTAGATAACCTAAAGGAATTTTAGCAATGGCATTCCCCGCCTCACACACACTTCTTTCAAAAGTATTTTGGCAACTGGCCATTGCTCAATTAACTTTCTTGATTGCAAAATGCACACTTAGTGTGATTGGAGACTTACCTTGCCCTTAGCACCTCCCACCCTACTGGTTCTCTTGCTTTACTGCTTCTCCCTGTGCCCAGGTCCTGCCACTGCAGGTCCCCAGTGGGTGCCTGCCTGCCTGCCTGCCGAGTAACTTCTCCAGAGGGTGCTCTGCCTCTCGGTGGGAGGCTGGTGTGGATGGCCCTCAAGTTGAGTTGGCAGTGTGGGACTTTGGTACAGCGTGACAGGAATGACTCAAAACCAGTCAGTGGGCTGGGATGTAGCCTCGGGTTTAGAAAGCAGCCCGGGAACAGGAGGGAGTTTCTGCCCTCAGCTGTCTGTCATGAGCACTGGCTGGCTTTCAGAGAAGTAGGATCCCTTAGGGGGCAACCAGGGAGGAAGACTTTCCCTCAGAGGTGGCCTGACTCTCCTTTCGCTGGGGCCTGAGCCTTCACCCCTGTTTGCCGTTTTTCTCCTTCTCCTTGGCCAAGAGGAAGGCCAGGAGGGCCTCCCCTCCTGGCCTCCTTCCTCTGTGCGTGACTGTTTCTGGCACGGGCTTTCTAACCAACTTCCTGTGTGTCCCCTGGCCTCCTCCTTCTGGCTGCCTAACTCCCTGGTACACTCTGTGCTATATGGTTGTTGTTTTGGTTTCCTGTAAACTGCTGCCTTCCAGCTGTTTCCAGATGAGGTTCAACAGCCCTTTGGAGGGAGGAACTAAGTGCAGGGGAAGTTGTGGTTATTTCCCCCCAGTCCTGTGAAGTGGTCTGGGACGCTGACGGTGATCTGTTCCTGAACATGCAAAGTCTTGGCCTCCTGAAGGGTCTCTGGCAGACGACTTTGGGTGGGGAAATAGGGTGTTGGAGGAATCGGGACTATGTGAGTGCCCAGTGGCCCGCTTGAGTGAATAGCAGTGCTGCTGGGACTCCAGCTTCATCTCGTTTCCTTAAAACCCACGTCCTTCCTATCTTGATTGTGTGCTCAATAATTGGGACATTTTGAAGGGAAATAGTTGCTTCCCTCAAGGCAAAATCTCCATGATAGAAGCTCCCCTTTCCTCAGCCTTTCCGTCTGTCACAGTAAAATGGGGAGGATAAAACTGCCTTGCTGGGTGAATGTTAGGATTAATTGAGACAATGTCTGCGAGTGTGTCTCGTACCTGGCAAATAGGAGGTTTAACAGGCGGAATCCAACTCCGCATCCTCATTCAACTGCCATTGACTAGGAGCCCAAGTTTCTCATCTGTAAACTAAAGGAAATGATGTGTCTGACGGGTCATTTAGTGTGGCTTTCAAATGTGCGCTCGACAAATACTCAATAGGCACATTCTTGGTTCGCCCGTATTTCCTAAGGCTCCACAATGGAGCTATGCACTCTAGAACAGAGTTCACGGCATTTTAAGGACCATTACACATGTAAATCATCCACACAGATTCTGAATGCCTCTAGCATTTAGCTCTTTGTGGTTGGTTTTGGTTTCACTTCTCTAGCTTTCTATGTAGCTCTGTATTAGGGAGTCTTGGCATGAACGTGAGGGGAGGAGTGAGGAGTGATGGTCTTTTTAGGTATATAGAGATAAGCAGGAGCTCTCTGCACAATGGGTTTCTGATGAAGTGGAGATTCAAGGAGACCTTTAATTTGGACCTGTAAGATAGCCTTGGAATACAAGTGTCTAGACTGTGACCTTGAGTAAGTGTAGCCTGTAGGGCAGCCCCCTATGCCTGACCCAAGGTGGGGATAGCTGGGTTAAAGGTTTAGAGCACTGTGCTCTTCAAGCTTTAACTTTTCAAAAGAAGAACTTTCTGATGCTAGGCCTGGTAACTAGTTGTAAATGGGAACCATTTACACAAACGACTAAGTTAGTTTGACTCTTCTGCAATCATGCTGAAGATACGGTTTTTCTCCCCGTGTTTTCCTTAGTCGTTTATCATTGTACTAGGGGCCCAGTGCATGAATTCATGCTCCTTGAAAGTAACTGTGGGCCAGGAGGCTGCGATACACACAGGTGGGTCGCTCGGCCCATCCTCCCCTCCCCTGCCTGGCCCCTCCCGCTGCAGCCTGGTCCCTGTCTGCAGGCAGCCCCCCTCCCCTGCCATGGCCACCACTCCCACACACTGATGGTGCCCACCCCGCTTGCACCCCCTGAACGTGTGGAGCGATTGGGGCTGGCACCAGCAGCAGGCGCGAGTGGGGCTGGTGGTGTCACACTGGAGCGGCATCTGATCATGCTTCAGGAACGGGAGGTAGAGAAGCCCTCAGGGGTGATCAGGGGCGATCAGAGCCAGCGCCACCACTCACACCAGCTGAGGGTGCCAAGCAATCTGTGCACCAGCAGCGGGTACTACAAGCAGCAGTTCCTGTGATGACTGCAGGTGCGAGTGGGGCCGGTGCTGGTGGTGGGTGTGAGAGGCAGCTGCCAACCCCCAATCTCTCCTTAGGAGCAGGGGGAGGTAAAGAAGCCCCGAGGTGCGATCAGGGCCAGCAGTTGCTGCTCACACCCGCTGACGGTGCCGAGTGATCGGGCCGGTGCTGGGCGCTGGCAGTGGGTGCGAGTGGCAGCTCCAGCGCCAGCAGTGGGTACAAGTGGGCCGGTGCTGGCAGCAGGTGTAAGCACTGGGTAGGACCGTGGTGGGCAGGAGCAAAGAATTTTCAGTAACCACCAGAAGCTCTCCCCAATGACAGCGACTGGTACCCCACCTTGGACTGGCACCCCCACTCACTGCTCCATCATCCTGCTGCGGCCGATGCCTGCCATGTTCTACACACACACACCCTGGTGGTCAGCGCACGTCGTAGCGACCGGTTGTTCCACTGTTCCGTCTATTTATGTATTAGCCTTTTATTATATAGGACAGTGTGCCATTAAAGGTTTGGATGGGAGCGAGGGCTATCGAGATGAGAAGGACAGGCTCTCTCCTCAGGAGCTCACAGTCTTGGAGTGGGCAAAAGACAGACCATCGTAGAGCAGTTAGCAAGGACTGTGATAAAAAAAAAAAAAAAAAAGGTGAACCAGGTCAATGGCGGTGCCAACGATTGAGTGTGTGCTTACATAACTGGTATCAATATGGACCGTTTCCCCTGACATCAGGGTTTAATGTGCATTGCGCTTTCCTGTGTTAAGGGTTAAAAATTATGAATCACATTGCCCAGCAGGAAGCCCCAGTGTCCCTTTTACCTATCATCTCCCCTTTAGTAGTTTAGGACCAAATTTTCTTTGTTTATAGAGTCCGATTGGCTAAATGCCATCCTGATGGAAAGGCGAAGGGTGATAACTTTGGGAAGATCCTGGGAAAAGAGGCTGGAGGAGAGGTGGTGGGAGGGCAGGAGAAGAGAAGATTCTCAGATGAACTGAGCAACAACTATATCCTAGATTCTCCTTATATTATCTTATGCATTTCTCACAATAACCCTCTCAGGTAGGTGATGGTAGAGTTCTTATTTTTCATATTTTTTTTTAAAAGAAAGAAAACCTGAGCATAAAAGTTAATTTGTCCTATCACCAAGAGGTTAGTCAACTTGCCCAAGACAGTGTCTAGAGCTGAAATGTTATCTCCCTTATCTACTCATAAAGTCTGCAGTCTTGGAGAGGTGGTGAAAACACCAGTTCTTCTCCTAATGAGAGGCATGGAGAATGCAGGATGGGGAAAACGAATGCCGTTAGGTGGCTCCATGCCCTTCCGTGGCTGCCCTTCCCCACTGGTGAAATCCTGTCCTTCCTAAAGTTGCCCTTGTAAACCCAAAGGGAGTGAGCGCCATGGTCCCCTGTAAGTCCACAACCCTTACTGATTCTGCCTCATGCCATTACATAGACCTGAGCTGCCAGGATTTTCGCTGTCTTCCCCTTTGATCTGCCCACAGAGCCCAAGTGTCTGGCACATACTGAGTGGTTAGGAAATATATATGAAATTGAAAAGGGAAGCTCAGGCACCTGGTCTTGCTTCTGGCAAACTTTTACTTATCTTCACCTGTGCAAAGGCAGACCGCCTCTGTGGAACAATGCTTTGTGGGATGTGGGTGTGGAGTGGGACAGAGGCCTAAGTGTTTTGCTAGGCGGTGTGTGTATTGTGGCTCATATGAACTGAGGTGGTGGGCAAGTTAATGCCCCCCATCCCCACCAAGATGTCCGCATCCTAATCCCCACATCCTGGGGGTATGTTGGGTTACACAGCAAAGAAGAATTAAGGCTGTTAATCAGCAGGGTTTAAAACGGGGATATTATTTTGGATTATTTGGGTGGGCCCAATGTAATCTCAAGGGTCCTCCTTAAAAGTAGAAAAGGAAATCAAGAGAGAACCAGCGAGAAAGAGC